TTGGTGCTGCTCAAGCATTGAAAGGAATGTCGAAGGCTAAAGTTGTGGATGTTGTCGCCGTCGCCGTCGCCCAAGAGCACGTGCAAAGAGAAGAAGTAAAAGCCGCGAAGGATGGTGCCGCGCAAAAGTACGACGTTGAGCAAGCCGCGAAGGACGGTGATTCCGCGCAAAAGTACGACGTTGTCAAAGCCGCGAAGGACGGTGATTCCGCGCAAAAGTACGACGTTATTGAAGCCGCGAAGGACGACGTTTCCGCGCAAAAGTACGACGTTCCTGAAGCCGCGAAGGATGGTGCCGCGCAAAAGTACGACGTTGAGCAAGCCGCGAAGGATGGTGATTCCGCGCAAAGTACGACGTTGTCAAAGCCGCGAAGGGTGGTGCCGCGCAAAAGTACGACGTAGCTGAAGCCGCGAAGGACGGAGACACCGCGCAAACCGACGGCGACGAAGAAATGCACGAGGCTGACGATGACGAGCCTGCGGCTGCTGCGCCTGCCACTTATGCCTATCACCACCACCATCAACACCACCACCGTCACCAAGTTCTTCGATTCCGCCCCTATGCCCATCCTAGCCACCACCATCGTCATCTTCTCCGAAAGCGTCGCCTCCACTCCTCCACCACCACCACCACCACCATCAACATGCATATGCCGCCTATGTCGTCCACACATCATCGCCATCATCGTCACCATGTTCTTCGATTCCGTCCGTATGCCCTTCCCAGCCACCACCGCCGTCATCTTCTCCGAAAGCGTCGCCTCCACTCCTCCGCCCCCATCAACATGCATATGCCACCTGTGCCTTCCAGTCACCATCGCCACCATCGTCACCACCATCATGTCCTCCGTTTCGCACCTTATGTCCTCAACAACACCATCAACCGTCGTTTCCTCCGTCACCGCCGTCATCATTCCCGCACTCCTTCGCTCCGTTCACTTATTGCCGCCGCCAACCGTCACCATTCTTCCGCAGCCGCCACTGCCATGATCGTCGATGCACCCTCTTCTCCCGCTTCTCCTGTCTTCGTTCCCGCCAACACAAACTTCGACGTCGACTTTCCGCCTCTTTCCCCCGTCCCTTACCCACTGCCAGCACCATCACCATCAGCACCGCTTCTTCCCACTCCTCAGCTCCGCAGTCCCCCTCATTCCTTTGTCTTCACCCGCCGCCGCCGCCGCCACCACCACCAACAACCCCGCATCAGAGCCTCGTGCTCATTATGAAGATGAAGAGACGACGAATACGAATACGACGAAGATGACGATGACGATGACGAGGAAGCGGTGAATTCGCTGCCACAATGGCACGAAACCTCGGTCTGGAGATGTACCAGGTCGCGATGCTGCAGCATCATCTCAAGCATGATGGAGAAGACGAAATCCTAGAATGTCTTCTCATGTTTGCTCACGGCGACAGAGCACGCGCCGCTGAGTTGGAGAACATTCTGTCGTCGAGTAAGTGAAAGCATTCATTATTATATGGCGTTTAAAAGATTTAACTGCTAGAAAGTGAGCTAACTGTAATGTTTTCGCTCTTAGTGGACTTGTTATAGCCAGGTGCTTCTGCTTTTTCTCGTCTGGCGTTCTTTGTGGTCGCTCGTTTGTCCGGCGATGTTCGCGTTCGTGTACGTGCGCTCTGGTGAGTTGTTTATGTGATCTTATCCTAAGCTCTACTTGCTTGATCTGCGTAGATACTAATTAATGACGCTCTCATATCTTTATAAACAGTGCGCACTCTGTGGCTCGGTGTTGTCTGGCGGTTTCCGCCTTCGTCAGGCGTTGGGGAGCGGTCCGGCCATCTCAGTGGATGTTTCTTCGAGGTAAAGGCAGGATTGAGTTGGCAGTGGCAGTGGCACTGCTACAGCCACCGGGGGTTGAAGGGATATGGGGGGCACATGGGGATAGCGATGATGGTAGAGCCGGTGGTGGGGAGGGGAACAACGCTCTGGTTGTGTAGGCAGCAGGAATATACCATCGAGTCACATGTACAGCGGCGATTCTTGACAGCAAATGACAACCCAAGCGCCGAGCTTGTATATTTACGGTACGTACTTGCTTTCTTTAATACCTACAACCATCTTTATAAGAAGAGGCTTACTAACTGATATATCCTTTTTCCTTTCATTCTTTCCTTCTTCGTACTGCATTCAACTCGGATGTGGTTTGAAGAAGGCTACTAGAAACTTAGGAATTTATTCCTTTCCCGGGTTGTCATTCCAGTCAGTTCCAGCTCATGTGGATGGTGTTCCTGCAGAAGTCCTACCTGTACCAGAGCAATGTTGTTCCTCCAATCCCCGCCACCCGCTCAACCGGAGTTATCCTCGCCCTTTCCATATCCTGGATCCCCCACCGGTTGTAGTCAGTGTCACGTCATGTAAGTCCAACTCCTTCCTTCACCTTTGCCTCGGGGATTCTGAAGCTGGGGTGTCCGGCTGGGGTGTTTGGCCAGCGGTGTGTGTGGTACGCCGCGATGGAAAGTGTCAGCTTTCCAGGCTAGCCGAGTAAAAATTCGGGGTGTTGTGAGAATCCCGTCTTTGGCTTGATCACATCGTCTTGTGTGGTGTTGGTGGATGAATCATGATGATTTGCTGCTACAGGTGGCGTCAGATTCCAGGGTTGGTTTCGAATCGAGGATTGACAGAATCCGTCTTTGGCTTGATTATGCCATTCATGTGGTTTGTGGATGAATCTGACGGAAAGTCATGGTGACTATGCTGCTACGGGTGGCGTCAGATTTCCAGGCTACCGAGTAAAACAACTTCTTTACTGGTGTCGATTCGAGGATGCAGAATCCCGTCTTTGCTTGACCATGCCGTCTCTTGGTATTGGTGGATGATCTGACGAGCAGTCATGGTGGTTATGCCGTACTGGTGGCAACAGATTTCCTGGGGCTTGGTTTCGAATCGAGGATTGGCAGAATCCGTCTTTGGCTTGATCAGTCTATTGGCAGCACATGATCATATACACCTTATGCGAAATTTCTTTGACGGTTTTTTTCTGATCTGACGTTCCTGATCATTACAACAACAGCACGACAACGACAACGACAACGACATCGAACAAGTGTGCGTCCAAGGACAAGCAACATCCAATTGAAACGACGAATCGACATATTAGGAAAGGAGCAGATATACTATCTAGTGATAATGCTATGGCGACAAGTACTATCCAAACGGATGCGGATATCTGCACTCAAGATCCTCATCAAAAGGCAGTACAAGCATTCAACACTTGCATGGGCGAATTAACTGCAAGTCATCGTGTACAAACTCTGACATCAACTATTGTGGGTGGACAAAACGACCGAGACAAAAAGACGACACGTGTCTTTTGCGCGAATCGGACAGCAGTCGTTGACCTGTGGACATCGGCATGGAAGGAATTCTGAGCTGGTCAAAAAAATCGGCAACAATGGAATATGGCAATTATTTCGGTCCGTCGGAAATCAATAAGGTGGCAACAAAACAATGCCATTCGAGGCGACATCTTTTGATATGGTGGCTATTGGAAGCATAGGACATGAACTTGGAAGTCGGCAACAGCACGAATGATAGCTTGTCAAGCTGGTCAACGATGGCAACTTTTATTTATCCCTGCTTATGACAACGAAAACAACAGAGAGCAACAACCATCAATCAAACCAAGAACAATACTGATTGTTGGCAGATAACCTGTGGCTACCGATGTGGCGGCAATCACACACAAGAAGCAAAAGCGCCAAGGAATTACGAGAGCTAGGCAATGCACGATATGATATGACGTTATCTTGGCGAACCAGAGTTATTACACCGCATATACGGCGGGAATACTCATGGCATCAACAATTTAGGCGGCAACACAGGGTCAATCGATCTTACACTGTGTGACAGCACAAATCAAGCGGCAGCAAGGGCGCAAATGGTGACAAACCTACAGGGAGCCGTAATTGACAACAAAAGCAAGGACAACTAACTAAAAAGACACAAAAACAAAGTTGACGACACATTCGAAATGACAACAAAACCAAAGCTTTCATCAATAGTTGCGAGCTATAAAAAGGCAGAATTGACAACAAACGCGAGCGACATGAATCGCACCAAAGCAATGACAGCAAAAGGCAAAACCATCAGCAAGATTTGGGTGAAACTGACAACATTTCACACGACCGTTTAGTGGATGTCATACAAAATAATAGTAAGTGTACAGTACGTGACTATTTGATCAGGCCAATACTTCAGGGAATGATACTTATATACATCTTCTCTTAGTAGACAAGGCGGCAAAGGTGGCACAAAAAGTCGGCGATGAAGATTCATAAAAAGCATCGGCATGTGCAGCAGGGATATCACGGACAACAATGCTCAGAGCTTTTTGAACAAGCCAGTTTCGCTTCTGCTATGGTGGTCTATGTCACGCGGTGGCAAATGAACAAGCAGCAGGCAGTGGCAGCAAAAACAAAAAAAAAATGCCCAAGGGCATCAATCAAGACATTGTCTCTAAGGACAGTATCAGCAAGTGATTGATCGAACGACACGACGGCACTATGATACCTTCGATGGCGGAACGAAGCTGGCACGTCATCCATATACAACTGTCATATATACAACAACAAGCAAGCAGTGGCTTTAAAGCGCATCCGAAAAACACTACACGACGAGGGAAACAATCAAAGTCTCTTGACGCACAGAAGAACAAAACAAGACATGTGCTCAAGATCTACACACTATGGACTTCCAAGCATACTCATTGGTTTACGGCAGCAATACAATCATTAGTAGGAGAACTACACAGGTAATCTGAATGTCGATGATGTGAGGCTGAAACAGAAATATGATGCAATTAGTACCACTGGGAATACATACTTATCAAGCTCAAATAAATCTAATAGTGAAAACAGCGACTGATCTAGTCGGGCACGATGCAGACAAGGAAGGACACTTGTTATCATCCTTTCCTTGTCATGCGTTGGCAGCAACAAGAAACATCACTAGAGAGAGATGGTGGCAGTCTCTATTCCAGTCGTGAATGATAGTGCAAATCAAAAAGGAGAACAAGCACGTATAGTAGTTTCGTGGTAAGGAAAATCAACGCACTTTATGCTCATTACTTTTGTGAACACTTGTGCTCACTGTGATTTTACTCTATCTTCTTTATTAGTGAAGGCCTCTTTCCACAAATCAAGATCCGCCAAAATTTACACCTATTCTTTGTCTGACAGATTGCTAGTAAGTTATTTTCTATGTAATGATGGCCCCCCAAAAAAGCAAGAAATCGAAAAAAAAAAAAAAAAAAGAGAACAGAAAAAAAAAGTAGTGTTAGTATTAGTTTAGAAAAATATACAGTAATCAGCAAAACCAAGTCCGTGACACAAAACGCGAAGCTCAAGGCAATGGAAGAAGCAAAAGCCAATGTCGAGAAACGAAAAGGCGTCACTGACGTTTGATGGAGCACAAGGCCAAGAAAGCACACAAAAGAGGACAGCAGTCGTATCATTAAATGGGCTTATTCATATCACACGCACAACATCAGCGTTGTAACAAGTCTTGACAGATATGTTATACAAGCAATATTCATGAACCATCAACAAAACAAAGAGAAATCAACACGCAGAACAGCCAATTCTATTATCCACATCATACACAAAAACAACGTCAAGCCATGGCAAACACAAACACGCCATCAAGTTAAACTCCACAGGACGAGCGAAGGGATTGGTAATATTGACAGTACGTACAAACAGAAAACAGCAACAGGTGCTCAAATTTCATCTAATCGTCACTATCTAACATAAAAAGCTCTTTGACGTTCATCTGTTTAGGTCTAAGACTATTTCCATCGCCAAAATAACCTCAACAATCATCAGTGCAAGACATAACTTTTGGTCGAAACTCAGAACAACGCTATCTATGCAAAAGAGCAAAGTCAAGATGATCAACTAGGAAATGCGAAAATACGGTTCGTAGCTCGAAATAATAACAAGGACAACAGGCCGACCAGCAATACGGACTGCTAAAAAATCGATAACACGTCACGACAGAAAGGCAGAGCCAAGCAGCGAGGTGTCTGTAGTAGTACTTTTGTATAGATCTTAAAAAAACCAAGCAAAAAAAAGAACAGGGGGCTATCATTACTTAGGACGGGAACTTACTAACATTTTTCAGTATTCTTAAAAGTAGTAATAAAATGTGAATATAGCGTTTTGATATGAGCTGGCGATATGCATATTGACCTTCAATTGTTTGAGGTTTTGTTTTATTGATTATATGTGCCTGAGTGTGATATGTTAAACGGGAGATGAAATGAATACAATTTTTCCATTTATGTGCTGCTGCTCGATGCAGCACCGGGATCCTTGGAGTCTTCCATACTTTCTGCTGCCTTGTCAATTCGGCTAAACTGCCACTTCCATGTAGCATTATATAAGAAGGGTCGCAAGTCGAAGCGATTATCATCAGGGCTGTATGCTTCGGCGTGATATGATGGAGTGATGGTGGTCATTTTGTGCCGATTAATGGAATAATAAAAGAAGAAGCGTTTGACCTTGGCCGCCACCTAGGTTATTAAAAAGTACAAGTTAGATGCCAAAGAGATTTTGGGCTCGGATGTAGTGATAGAGCGATTATTTTACCTCTGTAGGCCGGAGATCTTGACCCCATTCATGCAACAACTTGTAAAACATGGAGAATGGACCGCATCGTTCGACCTTACGCAAGCGTCCAAACTGAGAAAGCTCAGTGTACGACATACCCATATCAACTTCATCCGACTGCACGTAATCCTTTGTAATCGGCTCCAACTCAGCTGTAGGTGTAGCATCCAAAAACTCTTCCAAAATACACATCTTGAACTCGTCGCGCGCATAAGCAATAAAGCGCTTCAAATCCGTCTTGCTAATCGCACCGATTGGATTTACATCCGCACTGCTGCAGTCATACTTTGTCAAGTACCCGCGAAGACTTTCATCCACATTGGCACTGCCCAGAACAAGCAAGCCACCTTCCTTGGATCGACACCATGGCATGAGCTGGGCAAAAAGATATGCCAAAAGCATTCTAAGACGTGCCTGGATGTTTTGCAAGGCCAGATTTTCAGTGTTGGAACCGCCGTGGATGCGATATTGCGGTGTCTTGCCGGTGACCAAAGAAAACAGACCGTGAATGGCCGAGACAACAGTGTCCATGTTCAGATCGGTATGATAACTGCCAATGACCTCAGCAAGATTTTTGGCGCGCTCGCGCGTTTCATCGCTAGAGTTGGATGTACCCATATAGCATGTGTAGAAGATTTGATTGGCAAACTGTGCAGGATCGGTAGGAATATAATTCTTGTCGGTGCCGCCGGCCAAACGACGGGCATCAGCAATCACTTGTTGGTTTCCTTGACTGCATTCCTTGACAACCAGACGGCACATGGATGCTACAATAACGGCGGTCGCACAGCTATCGATACCGCCACTAAGAGGTAGAAAGTAACCAGCAGTCTTGGATCGACGAAGATAATCCCACAACCAACAGGCGGGACCCAATGCAATCTCTTCCTCTGGCGAGTGGTAGAACGGAGCTCGTGGTTTGTCTGGAACGATGCCTGCATCGGAATCCATGTGTGGGTGCGATAGAGAGAACTCCACGTCCTCGCGCTCGTATGCTTCTGTGTGTACGGCTTGGACACCACGGCTGGCGGTGCGTGATCTGAACGAGCGGACGTCTTCCAAATCCACAGTAGCAGTAACAACTTCCTAAAGATATCATTTCTCCTCAATCTCTCAATTTTTCCACCCGTTGCAGCAAACTCATGAGATCCTGTTGTATATAACTCATACCACATCATGAAGCGAGAACTGAGATCCTTGGGCAATCACATCACCGTTCATTACAATCATGGCGCAACCATCATAGTACAGTCTGTCTCCGTCACAACCTTGTTGGTTTGCATACAGATAGATACCACCAACCTGTAAAAACATATAGTTGGTTACTAAGTAAATTACAGATATTTTAAAGATATAACACTGCAATACAAAACAAAGCGAACCTTTGCCGTAGCAGCCTTCATCAGATTGATACGCGTATCAAGTTTGCGAAGCTCGTGGTGACTACCGCTGCTGTTGGTGAAAATCTCCACACCATCCAGGCCCATTGAGATATGGGGACTAAAGATATTTGTTCAATCAGCCTCCATCGTTAATATTCTTGTTAAATGTTCTTGTTTTGTTTTCAAATATATTTACCTTTGCGGTGTAAACAATTCTTCACAAGTTTCACAGCCAATGCAGGTATCCAGGGTGCTTACAACGCTATCACCAAATGGAACGGTAAACTATAAAAAACAAGCTGAATTGATGTTTTCCTCGAGCGTTGGATATAGCAGCCAACTATTTATAAAGAATATATACCTGACCAGTGATACTTTGGATCATACGGGGCAGATAGTGCTTCTCCACCTTCTTTGGAACCCATGCTGTAAAGAAGCGTGGTTCACGATAGTTACCGTCATTTGCTAGGAAGATCTTTGGTCGGATCAAGACAATCTTGCCATTGCACACAATAACTCGGCAGTTGTATTTAACCGTTTTATGCATTACCGGCCTTTATTGTTTGTATCCGAATATCGCATGAGCTCTACGATATCTTTAAACCATCCATTTGAACAAAAAAAAAGACTTACATGCCGATATCCAAAATCACATCCTTAGCCTCTTCACTTTTGAGGATTTCTGCTAACACCTCCCAAGAATGCAGATACGTATCACCTAAACAATAATAATACATATGTTATTGTTTGTTCGTTTATTTTTTTTCGTACGGATGCTATATTACTTTCGAGAAAATGATCGTAACAGCCATAGCCACTATAATAATTTATCTCGCGTTCAGTATACATGTTTAAAGGAAGCAAAACATATATCAGAAAGTCAACCAACCTGACTTCGAGTTCCGGACCAACGCGTAATTTGGCACCCTTCGCCTTGGCGATTTTGATACTTTCAAGAATGCGTGCAAGGTTTCCTTCAAAATCAAGTGCCCATTGATTAAGTGAACAGGTTGCAACGGTAATTCTAGATAATTCATCACAATGAGCAACTATTGAAACTGTATACTGTGCTATAACAATTTTTTTGACGCGTGTATTTGACGTACAGATGACCCATGGCTCCGAGTAAGTACTACGCAGGGAGAAGAAATAGAGTATCGGTGAAACCGAAAAAGCGAGATTTGCGTTTTGATGTCTGTCTTATGTCGGATTTACAAAACTACCGGCTTCCAGTTACTGCTCTGCCTTTTGTGTTTTATGCGATTTATCCCGGCAAACAAATGGAAATTCACTATTAAAATAATCTTAACTTATGAATCTTTATTACTATTATGCCTTACATATGACATTAGGATTATTAAGCACCATAGAATTATTATTGCGTAACAATAGAAGGAAAGAATAGACACGTCTCTGAGACTTGTTAATGACACTGAAAAGATCGTTGGTAAGTATAGCTTTTTTTAGCAATCCATTAGGCGCTCTCATGATACCTACAAGGTAATAGATCCGCTCTGGTTTCCTAGTTGGGTACATCAATCAACTATTAGATGCATGATGTGCTGTTCGTTATTAAATCATTCTTGGTAGCAATGTATTGTTTAGTAAGTTTTATAAGCGCAACTATTTTCCTCTTATTTCGCCACGAGCATGGAGTCAATACCAGTAGCAGGCTATCTTGGATCCATAATCATCAAAGTGCATAAGATAAGAGAACATCCAGTGTGTTACACAAGACACGGTATGTCTTTCATAAAATGGGAAGTCAGTTGACTTTGCATAGCATGTATCATAGAACCAATCGAAGAATATTCCATCAGGGCATCCGTGCTTTTTTAATTGCGCTCGGAATGCATGTCCAAAGCTGTAGCCTAAATGATTGTCCCAATAACAAGTAATCCACCTTATGTTATCATAGCAGCGTACCAGGGAGTCTACTAGTAGCCTCTTCTACCACCACCCCACACACACACCCTTTCAATTCTCTTCCAGCAAAACATGATTAATTGTTAAACACATGGATAAAATCTACCATCTACAGTAACCACGATTTTCAAACAACAGCAAAGCTGCAGAGTGCTCATCTACCTATTATCTGTCTCACACAAGAAACAAAAATGTAAACAGGTAGTGTTAGGTTTAAGTCGTCGACAATTCTCTAATGTAGCTTTAAAACTAGTTGGAGTGTTCAGAGACAGTATATTAAGCCGATTCATGCCGATTGTTCTAGCAACTTTTACTTTTTCCCCCTTCCCCAGTTCAGTGCTAAACCAAAAATTTCCGTTCTGGTTAAGAATTTTGCAAGCACAGCACAAGAGAGAAAGGCAACGCCACTTTGGACTCTTTCGCTCTCTTCCCTCTTCTTCTGATTTCTTCTCTCTTTTTCTTTTCTCTTCAACACCAATCTCTCGCTTAACATTCACTTTGCTCCCTACACAATGCACTGCAGTCGAGAGTCCTCTGCTTTTGCCCCTGACGACAGCAGCAATAACAACAACGCCTCTTCTCGTTGTCAGCCGTTCATTATAAAGCTCCTTGCGTAAGTAATTAAGCCAGACCTTCTTTGTCTTCTTCTGTAAGTGTGCTGGGTGGTGCGCCCGTGTGTGTAGTAAAAAAGAAAAATAATTGAAAGAAATTTTGTGTATAAATCGATCTATTTTGTCTGTAGGATTGTTGAAGATGAAGGCAACCGTAATCTTATTTCTTGGTCACCGTGTGGCGACTTTTTACGCATCTACGATTGCGATGAATTTGCACGAGTTGTTCTTCCGCGATACTTTAGACACTGCAACTGGACTAGTTTTGTACGTCAGCTCAATAGTAAGTAATAGTTTACCGAATTTATGGGACGGGACACTCAAAAATGGGTGTGGCTGTATGTGTCCTCGGAATTTCATATTTGACTTACATTCTTAGTCCAAAGTGTACAACTTCCACAAATTGAACGAAGCCAGTTTCGACACCGCTTACTGGCGGACAAACAGCGCCTGTGGCATCACCGCCTCCAGTAGTAGTGCTTGTGGCAGCAGCAACAGCATAAAGTCCGCCGATAAAAGTGTTTTGACTTGGGAATTCAAGCATGAAAGTTTCCGTCGCGATGCCCCCAAGAACCAGCTATCACAGATCAAGCGTAAAAAACCAAAAGACTACACCGGCCTCCACATACAGTACGCAGATACAATGCGTGTCGTTGAGCCCAGTACCATCGATGCCACACCGACTCCATTATCCTCCACTGCCACCGCCCCAACCTCTTTATCAACGCGTACTAAAGCGCCAAGCCAGGAGCTCTTTGATCGACTTGAAAACAAGCTGTTTTTGCTGGGCTCTTCATTTGATGGGTTGATCCATAAGCTTGCAGAGATGAGATCGCTTGTCGACACACAAAATAGCGTATGTGTTTATCTTCGGTACTATGGCTGTCTTGAGTCATCTGCCATTACTACGCCAATGTTATGCTCATAATGGAGACTGCGGCTATCTTCCTAGATAATATCAACCATGACAAATTATATGGAAGAAATAGTGGAAAATGGGTCAAGTAAGTCAGCCTTGGAAGTTACTTCACTATCATTTGCTCAAAAAACTCACCCTCACTTAAAGCACATCTCCTTCTCTTTTGACCTAGCAAATCAAAAAGTCTCTTCTTGCACACCGACTACGACGGCGACGACGACAACGACAACGACAACGACCGATGCACGACCACATTCTGCTAGTATGGATTATAATCAGCAACTACAGAAAGATGACAAACCGACAGCGACGACGACGGCCGATGCACGACCACATTCTGTTAGTGTGAACCATGTTCAGCAACCACAGAAAGATGGTGTCGTTTATGCGGAACTGCGATGGTCAATAAAAGAAGGAAGTGGCAGCAACAACAGCAACATACCCGACATAAAGAGGAATTCTGCTCCCCATAATGGAGATAGCTCGGTGGAATATGACGAGCTAAGCAAAAGTAAACGATTAGCCATCTCTGAGCAGTCAGAGAGTAGTAGTAGTAGTAGTTTGGTGTTCACAGCGGGCAGCAGCTGCTTTGGCGAGAGTGGCGGCTCGAAGTCATTGGGGGACGCCGACAACAAAAAGAGAAAGCGCCGACAAAATTCGTCGTCGTCGTTGTCGAGAAAATCTTCCTTAGCGTTTATCCTACAGCAAAACCAAGCCGACAGTTATCCATGATTTGTCGAGTGGATAGCCCAAGAAACCGAGGAAGATGAGAGGAGAGGCATTGATGAGATGGATAGGCAAGTATTTAATACTTTTGTCTTATCAGATATGGGGCGAAGGAGAGAGATGAAAAAAGTGGAGCGTAGAGGATGGACTGATCATTTTTTTGTTCATCTGATCATGTAATTAACTCGTCAAATCTCAAAGGTATGGAATCGGCCTGATATTCTGGTGCATATTGTATATAAGAAAAACCCGTTTCTTTTTACTCTTGCATCAGAGAGAATAAAAGAAGTAGCATCGTCAATCCTTGCATACCAACCGTGCCTAGGGACAAGACCCCAGGGGCGGTATTGTTGTGATGTTATTAGGCGTCCTGCCTTTCCTGGTGAAGATCACACGTTTGTGGGATTGTCCAAAATGTTTACGACCCCTCAAGGTCTATAGCTTTGTATATGAAAGTGTCATGGCCCCGCCTCCTGAAGCCTTTCACTGTTCATCCTCCTCAAATTTTTTGAAACCCCACTGGCTGTCCAAAATAGTTATTTTACGACCTTTTTATACCCTCCATATGTAACCCCTGTTGTATATAAATGCTGATTGCCTATGGTGGTTGTAGCACGAAACAACTTAATACATTCTTCACCTTTTTTACTTATGTGCGTTTTGTCTTTTCATTTAGTGTTGTGCATGTTTGTATAATTATTCCAGATGATTAAACTGGCTTTATAGTCAAACGAGGATGGTTGCAGATATATACTTAATAGTTTATGCAATGCGGTGTGCTTTATTAAAACGCTCGTACGCTTCTAGACAACCTTCATGGACAACGCGATGGATCGCTCGCTCCGAAATTGTGCGTAGAGGCACTTCCAAGTCTTCCAGGATAATCATTTTTGCATCAAGATCTCTACGCAAAGAAGCAGTGCCAGCCTCACTAATTTGTGTATAGGTTTTTTAAGCTATTAGCATTAATAATTGGGAAAAGAGAGGAGTGTCTTTTTGTAATACTTACCAGAAAATACTCTCGATATCAGCACCAGTACAGTATCCAGTCACGTTGCTTAACCAATCGATATCAATATCCGGGCTGATCGCCATCCGTCCCATCAAGGCTTTGATGATTTCTTTACGATCACTTTCATCGGGCAATCCCATATAGATGAGTTGATCCAAACGGCCTGTATATCATAATTCTAGAGTCAATAAGGTGTATAGTTTAGTTTCTAGTAATTAATATCAAATAATTACCTGGTCGCAAAATAGCATCATCGATACAATCAGGACGATTGGTGCATCCAATCACAACAACACCTTGTCGACCTTCAACACCATCCATTTCGTTTAATAGCGTGCTTAAAACTCGTTCATTGATACCGCCGCTGCTCTCTCCAGACTCCCAGCCTAAATGCGTTTTCATTTTAGTTAGACGCCACTGTTTCCAAAATTTTAAGAATTATTTAGTGAGTAGCTCACCTCGTCGCGCGCTAATTGCATCCATTTCGTCGATAAATAATATGCAAGGCGCTATCCTCTTTGCTGTTGCAAATAGCTTGCGTATCTTGCTCTCAGTTTCACCAAGATATTTTGAGAATATTTCTGGGCTAAATATAAGCACAGAACAAAAGATATCTGATTAATTATCTAGGTAACAGTCTAATAGTTTATAGTTCATATTTCAGCACTCACCCTCTGATAGACATGACATTCATCATCGATTCCGTCGCTAAGGCTTGCACAAATGCCGTTTTACCACATCCTGCATTATATCATTATCAGTTTGATATACAGCTTGAATGATACAGAGTGTTTGGTCTCCATCACCATGTAAAAGAAAAACGGACGTACCAGATGGACCATATAATAACAGCCCTGATGGCGGTTTTATACCCAGTTGCGAAAATGTTTGTGGCTCAAGCAACGGAAGTAGTGTTGCATGCTTTACTCGTTTCTTGATCTTATCGTACCTAATAGAAAGCGAAAAAAACCCCAAAAGACGCATTACAATTAACTCATGATTTTTTTAATGAGCTGACACTATTCAACAAATCCTTACCCTCCAAGCTCTGCCCAATCCCTTTTTGGCAAATCCATATCCACTTCCAATTGCTGCGATGGCCGACTTGTTGATAAAGCATAAGAAAAATCCGACCACTTGACATCTCGCGTACTTTTATATATACACATATGTAATAAATTCGTTGTTAGTTATTAATGCTGCTGGTATGCGATACGACGAAACAAGATTCCAGGCATTACCTTTTTCTACTATCCAGTGACAGCCTAGAAAGCTCGTTCTCAAGGTTACCGTTACCAGCATCTCTCATTGATTTTAGTTTTGCAGCTCGGCAGAGTGACTTGAGATCACGAGCTACATAGCCTGAAGTACGCTGGATTTGCTTTTAGATTTCAATAAACTCATTACTCATTTCCAAACCTAAAAGGGACGACTTTTCAAACTTACCATACCAATTTGTGTGGTGTAATAATCAATATTTTCTGCTTTGTCTTCTTTTATGACTTGGAGTGAAAAATCACATAGTAAATTCTGCAATATCTGTTTTCGTTGGGGCCTGTTATAACAAATGCAAACGACGTTAGTAGTTAGCAGCTTGTCCTCGCTCTTTTTAAACATCGAAGAGATATGGATTACATTGTTGGTATAGGTAAATGTAGATGTTCGTTAAAAATATCCGTCTTTTTTAATGCGTCTGGAAGGTTTTTGAGTTCTTGTGCAAGACCTATCACACATACCTAATAAAAGAGTATCAGTTCCTTACATAATAATCAACAACAACAACCTGGACCGGCAAAGCATATCCTCCCGTAATTTTTGGGCTACTTACTGATATATCGTCCTTAATCCGGCGGATTTCGTTATCTAATATTGCCAGGATCCTGTCGCGCACATTACTGTTGCCATCTACTCTCCGTTTTATATGTGAGCAAAAAAGTAGACAGATTCCGATGATACCTCTTTATCAGTAACAACATACCTGTCTGTAATGCATTTAAATGTCGTACAACAACAATACAAGGCTGGATTTTGATTGCTTTGGTAATAAATAGATGGAGTGGATTATAGCGCATAAACTCGGGTTCGTCAATTTCATCTTTAATGCGCAGCAGATCGTGGATCGAAACTTGCAATAGATTGGTGCCAAGTTTTTGGGAGACGCTCCTAACATACCTTTTCAGCACACTGATTGATACGAGATGTCAGTTCTTAATTTCTTTTACCTGACTAAAGTCATTTTTCCTACACCAGCAACACCATGTACAAGAATCGATTTTGCCATAGGCATACCCATAATCCTAAATGCTTCCGCGTCCCTAAAACTACTTTCTGTAGAAATATATCCATGTTAATTATTATTCTCTCGGTTATTTTGGCATTTCCTCTTTTTTCTTCTTTAAAAGGCATTTACGGATCATGCTGCTTAAGCTCTGGGTCCACTCGTCGTCGCTGTGGTTGACTGAAAAAATGTTGGCTTTGACTGACTGCTCGATCTTTATTTTTGTTTGTTTGCGATCAATCTTGAACAGGCTGCTGTCCCCTTCAAGTTGATCGTTGGTGCTGGCGCTGACATGCTTAATCACTATGGCAAATTCTGCTCCACCAAAACCATAACGAATACGATCGCCTGCTTTAACCTTGTTTAAAAAAGTATTGAGAAGGCGTTGCCGCATTAATACAGGAAACAAAGTCAGGGATCTCTTCAACTTGTTCCAGAGGCGTGTGGATTTATGTACCGAGCAACCGCCCAATCTACGGCGAATCATTGCTGCTAAGTTTGGGACCCCATGGTAGCTACAATCAGTTAGGAATGGCTGACTTGTGGAAATGCAAGCAGTAACGTCTGTCGCGATCGCGATGGTTTCCATATTGGTGGTGTTGGACAAAGAGAGAGAGGGTGTCTCGGATGTCGCTGTTTTATCCCGCGTTCGCGCAGGATACTATATCACGGCCACTGAGCTCAAGAATCAAACGCAATTGCTATATCCTTGCTATCATCTCTTAATCGATGGCTTAACCTCTTGTAGTACATTTTGCTGGCAGTTGTCAAAGGAGCATATTTCGGTATACTGTAGCCATAGTATTCCATTTAGCAGAAGCCCAATCCCCAAAGGAAAAGGATAAATATCTTAGTAAATGAGCATCATGAACCAACAACACTTTTATGTTGCAAACCCCATTCATACTTTTACCAACCTCAAAAGAAACACTCTAGACAGTAGAGGATACAAAACAGAGGGTGGAGAATGCATTCTTACCAACCTGGCATGAAAATCAATATGTAACATCAATTACAAGTCTTGTGTATACCACCAGCAAGCTCACCAAGGCTCGTTCTCGCATACTGAGGCGCGCGCACTTAACTATTACTCTCGAGTATATACACTGTCTAGCAGCGAATCTAACAGTGGAGATCGCAAGGCTATTTTACTTTCCGAAATTCAGGAGATCATCTGTATTACTTGACATTCGAAATCGCATACGATTCGACGAGTGTGCCACGCTGGGCGATGGATTGTAATGTACTGGCCTGGCATGTGGCGAAGTGTATCCAGAACTGAGGGACACAATATTACTCCGAAGGATGTCTGTGCTTGCTGGTGGGAGCATAGCCCCGAAGATATGCCAACCTTGACGGACGTGGTGGATTTTCTGCTGGATCTGCAATGCTGCTCGATCGAACATGGTGTGATATCATTAAGAGATACAATGTCCCTAGTTAAATTGCTTATAGCAAAGACTTGACAACATAATATTATGGTTATTATGCTAATAGGCAAACTTGAGTTTGAGTATTTATGACAATCCCCACTACAACGAAATTCTACAGTATTTGCGCAAATACTCTCTCAAGTCTATGCATTTCACGGGATGACTACCCAGAAGATTTGCAACAACAGACATTTATCGATGTCAGCCCAGATCTCTTCCTGCTGCACTGTCCAAACCTGAAAAGATTGGAGTTTTTTGGTGCAGTATTTTATAATAACGATGAAGCAACATTCACCGTGGCAGAATAACGATTGGCTGGCTCGAAGCACCAGCATCTTCACCTAAACTCAAACAATTGGCGCTGCGCCTCCATAATATCAACAGCAGTGCAACTGGTGAGCCATTACCGGCACTACTATCCAAACATTGTCCATTACTTGTCTCGCTGATCCTCGCCAACGGCAACTTGGGAGACGCAGATCTCCATGGCTTTGATGATTGGTACTACGAGCAGATCCATCGAGAAGCGGAAATAATATAGAAAATAGCAACTGACCGTCGACACAACGACGAGAAAAAGGCAACAACAAGAGGACTTAAACATTTGGTACTACACGATACTAGCAGTGAATCGCCATTTTCCGTCAACTTGTCGCTTGCTTTCACGTGAACCTTTAGTACATGAACCTTGTAGCAGATGTCCTTTTTGAACAAGATATGATTTGTTCCTCTACAGCTTTTCTTTAACCACTGCCAAGGACTATGAGGAGACTGACGACGCTGTTTTCTCCAAGGCGCTTATAATGACGACAATTTATTACAATCGGTCACCCGATCAGAGAGCTTACAAGAGCTATCGTCGGCTGGCTAAACCTAACACCAGCTGGTTTACAGTACAACAGTTTCTGGAAACGCGCAGACTACGGAAAATCAGTTTCGAAAACATCATTGCTTTGGCCCAGTATACTTTCGTATGATCGCTACTAATACTACTGCATCCTATATGTGCTTATATAGAAATTACGAGCAAACAGTACGAATCCAGAATATGTAAATTCCACATTGTGTTACAAATACCAGAATGTATACCTAAAAATATGCAACGAATATACGAACATATGAGAATAGCACAATGACGTTTGGTGTTCTTCGAATTTATAGCAGTTTGTTGTCCATGGTACTCGCACAAAGCAGCATGAACAAGGTATGTAGGACATTACCATAAATGATTGAGAGAAAACCTATTATTAATCAAACGTAAACTTTGATTTCTTGGTTTATTTGCTCATCATCCACATACAAAGCTCAATGCTTACAGACAAACCTGCTTTTATTTTGTAAAATGGTGTCTGTCTGTGGCACAACAAATTCGAACTGCTATAGGTGTCACATTCCAAAATAAGCAAAGCCTCTTACACTAAACTGATGCAACCATTTTTCTTCTTTCGTCCAAACCTTTTTTCTAAAAGCGTATTGAGCCATGTCGATCACCGAAAGCAGCATTGAAGATCAATTGTCTGCATTACCCCCGGAAATTCAAGAGAACATCTTATACTGGTTAACCTTTCGGGATCGCATACGATTCACTGAAGTGAACAAGTATTGGCGATCGACCGTGCTAAACTGGCCGGGCACGTGGCAGAGGTTCTCGACAGAAGACGGGCACGACATTTTCCCGAAACTAGCACTGTATAAACCATATATCAAGGGTTCCTGGGTGAAGCATGTCCATGCTTCTTGGACGGATCATCGTCGCAGTGATACACCGACTTTAACGAAACTCGTGGAGTTTTTATTGGAATTAAAATGCGATTCAATTGAAAAAGGTATTGACACTAAATAACAAGACAGATCGGTCGAGCTATTAGTTGTTTGTTACAACTTCGCTAACAAATGTCTGTACTGCGTACGTATATTTGTTATTTCCAATAGTCAAGCTCAACTTTGATTGCTCAATGACAATTCCCACTGCTGCACATTTTCTCAGAACTTGTGCGAAGACACTTTCAAGTCTATACATTTCACTGCATGATTACGTTGATCCAAAACAACCGACACTGGACGACGTCAGTCCAGACATCTTTCTATTTCATTGTCCGAACCTAAAAAGATTGGAGTTCTTCGGCCCAGTACATGCAATCGACGACGAACGAAGTATAACGACAACAACCGTGATGGCACAACAACGACTGGCAGGTTTGAAACACCAGCATCTAGAAGATTTAAGGCTCGACTTTGGACACCCCGAAAGAGACGGCTATTACGATTTGACACCTTACATCAAAGCTGCACCGAAGCTCAGACAGCTGGCACTACACCTTCATAACATTGAACATTGTAATTTCGGTAGATCGTTACCATCATTGTTATCACAACATTGCCCGTCATTGACCTTGCTTATCCTTGTTAACGATGGCACGGACGACCTTTACCTGGATGACCTTGATTGGTACCAACAGCAGCATCACCCGGAAACAACCCTGTCGACGAAAAAGGGTAAAGCAGCAAATAAGGACAACGACGACGATAGTGATTACGACAGAGAGCCGAGAGCACTTACACACTTGATACTTAACGACAGTGCACACCCAGACAACTCTCCGTTGTCTGCTGATTTGCTCCGTCAATTCGTTCGTCGCTATCATGACAAGCTCCAATATCTTGATCTTTCGGGATTCGCCTTTTTCGATCAAAACTCGATGACATACTTATCTGAGTATGCGTTTTGGTCATTGACGCGTCTCGTAATCAAATGCAGCCCTCATGGCTCCTTAAACCCTTATCAACGGCTTTTGCAACAACAGGGAGTGTTTCCGATATTGAGGACGCTGATTCTCCAAGACGATGGTACTCAAGTAGACGATGATCTATTGCAAGCAATTACCCACGTGAAGACACTACAAGAGCTGAAACTTGTAGGATGCGGTGAGAGGATGTCACCAAACGGATTACGCCAATTTTTGATGACCATGACGCACCCCGATCGCAGCCTACGAAAGCTCAATTTCATAAGAGTCCTTGCTTTGAACCTGGATGTTCTTCGTGCGATTGGCCAGGCCGATCGCTGTATAATCGACGAGCTATCAATTCGTGCTTGCTACAAATTGACTGTGGACCATTTTGAAGAGTTTTTCGACGACTTAATCCGCACTTATCCGCAACGCCGTGATAGGCATCCTGCTGCTGCTGCTGCAACCTCGACTGATAATGCAATGACTACCCAATTTCACGGTAACAACTGTAAAGTAATGACAAAACTGGAGGTTTTTTCTAGTCACCCTTCGGACCCTTCTTCCTTTTTCGATGGTGGCAAAGGCGCGTCATTCTTTAAGAAATTCGACCATATTGCAGAAAGCTGGCAATTTGCCTTATGGACATATACCCCTATAGATTATATATGTCTTTCCCGAAAGATCACTTGCAAGAAATACCGAAGGAGAAAAGAAGGCTTACAAATATAAGCATCATGTGTACACCGAAATAAATACTGTATCAATCTTGCACTTACCCTTTGCATTTGTACAAATGAATTGAATGAAAATTTGCTATGTAATAAGATCGCTTGTTCTGCTATAATTGCAGTACTACACATGTATCTTTTAAAGGAATAGTCGTTATGCTGCAGTTCAACTTTTTCGTTCTATAGCTGCCGCAAGACTAAAACAACACCCTGTAAAACGGCAGTCGCTCTCAGTCCAATAAAAGTATAAGTATGTATAACATACAATATCATAAGTTACCGTAAATATTCGTTTGAGAAAACCTAAGTATCCTGTGTGGTCAGTTTTTATTTCTCGTACCAAAATACACCAGAGCCATCTCGTTTGACACTAAAGTCGTATGATACATGATAACTCTTTTTTTTCTCTCAGAAACAAATGTAATTAGTGCGTACAGAAAATGTGCTGACAAGCTTTGTGAGAATGTTATCTTGAGCAGTGCTGTGAAAACAAATGTTTATATAAGGTCGATAGGGTAGCAACCTGCTCATTTGTGATGCTGTGTACTCTTCTCACACCGTGTTTAGTAGTGAATATAACATAGCGCAAACTTTTTCTGTGGGAATTGATGAGAGTTCAGGTAAGTAGAACATAATCAAACGAGTTTTTGATCTTTCCGAGGTAATTATGTCTCTCACATGATGACTATGGTTAAGTGGGAAAGCAAAGAAAACTACGTGGGTTAAGAAGGAACGAATGGGAATACTATGACAACTTGTCGTGTGTGCATGTTGATATGAAGTACCATCACAACAGCTCAAATAGACATCGACAATGTGCTGTCTTTTTAATTAAGCATCATCAGAATTTTTTTGTGTGAACGTCATACTAAATACGTATTAACGTCATTATACAAGTATTTTTCACGGTAAAGCTATCGATTAGCATAAATAGTGTAGGTAAGACGTTGTTCTAGCTCGCGTTTTGCGTCGTCTTTACCGTCTTTATTGTCCCGTGATGCGCAAATGAATTCTCTACAGACTTGAACTCTAAGGCGTGGGCGTATGCTGGCTTAAGTGTTCCACACATGTCTCCGATATAGCATGGCGACCGCCGATACACCCTACGGACCTAGCGCCACCAGCACCAGTTGCAGCGGTGCCGACCCAATGAAAACTGCTTATACTATGCTGGATCGACACATCAACAAACTCCGGAATAACTTTATAGACGCGTTGTACTAGCTTTAAAGAAAAAACAGAAGACACGTAACTCTCTCCTACATTCACAACTCCACCTCCTCTTGCAAATTCGCTACTTTAAATATCTTCTTGCTTCTTATATGATTAACAGATTTCCCGTTTCAAAGCATGCTACTCAGACGGGTCCATATACTGCCTAGGCCTCACAAATTCATAACACTCGTCGTTTTTTCCCATTTTTGTATTAAAAAACTAATAGATACACCTTGCGTGGGTAAAATAAGAACCTGATCTGAATTTATTCGCCTTTTTTGGAAGAATTGCGGGGAAAGATCCCATGGTCGTACATGGTTTCCAAACAACGCAGTATAGAAAGTGTTCATAGGCTTATAGTATCTATCTTACGTGTTACGCGAAAGAAGCGCTTGCTCTGGATTTTTGTAAGGCTACGGATTCGTATATAAAAAGGCCAATAAATTCAGAGTACAAAAACATCAACACACCCTTCAGCAAATATGATGGCATCCAGTGATCAAAAACCCGAGGTCCAGTTGCATGAAGCAGTAGTCATGGCATCAACTACCAATGGTGTTAGTGCTAGCTCCCAAAAGCATCAAGCAGAAGGAGCACATCACCATGGACCTCCTCCTGGACCAGCTAATCCACTCGCTATTGGATTCGCAGCCTTTAGGTGAGCCATAACAAGATATTTGTCTTAGACCTTTCTTCCTAGAATTTCACTTTCATGTTATTGCTCATTACGGTATAATGAATATTGAACGTACGGTAGTTTGTGTAGGTGAGTAAATCGAAACGACGCTTTTCTTGTAGTACGTTCCTGTACGTGATAACTCTACTAACAACCAAGGAAATACAAAAACAGCGCCATCTTTGGTCTTTACAACTCGGGTCTTATTACAGATATCCCTCAGGTTGCTGTGGGTGTTTCTGTCGGCTTTGGAGGGCTCGGCCAGTTGTATGCTAGTATTGCCTGCTTCATCCAGGGCGAAACATATCCAGCTACAACCTTTGTGACTTATGCTGGCTTCTTCTTTGCATTTGGCATCATGTTTAGCACACCGTCTGGATGCGTTGAAGCAGCTACTGCTGGAGGATCTAATGAACCGCTTGACAAATGCATGGGCTTAATCCAGCTCGTGTTCACTATTTGTACTTTCTTCTATTGGCTTGGCGCTTTGCGGCAGCCGTATTTAATCCAGCTTCTCTTAATTCTGGGTGCTCTTGACGTTTTTGTTTGGTACAATTGGTGCTTTCACTGGGGTTGCAGGTCTAACAGTTGCCGCCGGATGGTTCTCGTTTGCAATAGCAGTCGTCGGATGGGCAAATATGATGATAACTTGATGCAGAAAAAGAAGGAAAGGAGCTGTCCTGCAGAGCTGATCTCAATTCTATGTACCTTTTTTTAGTACATCACGTGCTTCTTTTTAATTGAGGAAAAAAATACCTTCATCCGCCTTCCCTTCTTCTAGCTCTTATTAATATGAGGTGGACATGATACAATCTAAATATTTACTGTGTAAAATCTCAATAATAATAGTCATGCTTTACAAGAGCTGAAATATCACATGTCGTCATTGTACAATTAGCTACATGTTCATGCATTGGGCTCATAAAAATTTACAGTGCTCTAGCTTTGCGATGTTTATGTTTACACTAAAGGGAGAAATATGCATGACCGCACCGCACATTTTGGGGATTTTGTATGCGAGTCGATGTAGCATAGATAGAAAAAAAAGCCTCCCGTAAAACGATCGCGAACCTAAGCTAAATCACTATAGTATATAAAGTAACAAAGTAAAAATTTACATTGACAAACCCATTAATGCTTATGACCTAGCGGGTCCGTCCTACAAAACATTTAATCGTACCAGATCTGCAGTCGAGTACAACAACGTCAGGAGTGCAATTGCCATTGCCAGTCCAACTTCCAGGACTAATATCAAGAAACCATATGCCACAATGAACACTTGCGCGACAGTGTACGGTTTGATGGATGTTTTTAAAATGTCTTATGCGATGCAGAACAAATGGTTCAACTTGCACAATCAGCAGCAGCAGACTATCTACGCGCGGGTGAATTGTACTCTCTATGGTGTAGTCAAAAGGCGTGCGCGGCGTTCCTTTTCTTTGCTTTTAATCTTTCATATACAAACAATCGCATACAAACAAGCACAGCAGATCTTAAACTCATCAGTGAACTCTCGTTCGAAATCGTGACTAAAATCTTCGCTCATATTAATCAACGATACTGCATGGTCTTCAGCACTGTATGTCGCGAATGGCACGAATGTACACCAAAAAAGTCTGGAATATGGTACTTCTCACGCCCAGTTAACTCTATAACAATCAGTGTCGTCTGGAGCAAGGCCTTGTAAAACACGTTGCACTCTAAGAATTCACAAAAGATGTAGAGCTGACGACCTTGATTGTATATCTTGTGGACTTTTAGAGACGCAGTAAAATTGAAACTTTGGGTAATAACTGGTATCCAGTTATATACTTGCATAAAAATAATGTGTATTGAAATGGGAAATAAAATAATGTCCATAGTATATCTATTTTCATAACAGTATATAACTCCTGCAATTATAGTACTAGATCACTGTACCATTACGAACAATTCTAAACGGCAAAAGACTTTTGTTGTTCTTTTAAAGAATCAGTCATCTGATATAATACACTTGACACTGGATCACAATTACCGTGACCTCAATATACTCGCTATAGCGTGCTTAATTCTCACTAACTTTCTTAACGACCCTTACCGTCCTCAGCTCCGTATTACGCGCTCTAAAGAACTTACAAAAGCCAGGAACAACCAAATTCCAAAAGAGCAGCAGCTCAAGAATGTTAATTGAAAATTACTTGCTTCAAAAAGGCGTGACTCTAATTAAGATTGTCTTGTATAGTGTTAGCGCCCCCAAAACCGAATTCATCCCAAGCATTACATTTAAGTATCTTCTCAAGGTACAAGGCATGTATTTAAACAATAAAATGTAAACCGACGACAAACCCTGTTCCGTACCGCAAGAAAACGGTTCTCCGGGAAGTTATCGAGAACTTCAGCGTTTGTTTTGAAGAAAAATTTGACCATTAAATGTTAAAAATCATCCCTGTAATACTGTTGAAATTCTTTCCCATTTTATTTTCCTCTATATTGCCCAAGAGGTATATATCTATAGTCATTATGTAAGACGTAATAGTTTGAAGATGGAGTTGTCCTTAAAATAAAATCAATCAGTTGTACGAGGTGCTTATGTAACATGTTATTGTGCGTACAGCATGTATGAGCTTTGGTACGGTGCGTTTAGGAGACGATTTGAAGTGCATGCAAGAAGAGAGGTTTTACATAAAATGACTTCTGCTGACATTAGTCAAAAATGCCTAGAGAACAATATCTTATTTTGCGAGCTAATTCGGATGATGTAGATTTTGATATCTTGCAAGCAATGATCGTCCATACACACCGATTAATATACATTTAACAAAGGAGAAGAAATTGGGTGGTGTCAGCCTTTTATAACAAAAGTTATGTCAAATACAGTGAATCTTTTTCATCGTTATTGGAATTATTGCAAAGTAGACGTCGGAAGTTGCTTTGCTGCCATATGCTAATATGTTTAATATGTAGTATACTTTGCAGGAATGGATTAAGTTGGCCCTTATTTCAAGGGGGTGAAGGAGGACTATACGACCACAAACTCCACCAAAACCTTTACAGATCAAAAGAATGATTATATAGTAACTTAAATATACCTATATCAGCTTCTAATGATGAGCTAAAGAATTTCGCCTTTGTCCCTGCTCCTTTGTAAAATAAGACCTTTTCAGATTTCGTATTTTTTTTTGGTTCATTCTTTTTTTTTTCTCTCTTTGCACCATCTTTAACTCTGTTAAGACTGCTGCGTTATTCTATAATAAATATATTTTTCTAATTTCCTGCTTTCATTCGATGCACATCAAACGATACTTTGCGTCCGTAGCAGTTGCAAGCTACCTTGCTTTGTTGTCAACGGTGGCAGTAGTGGCACAAACTAATGGTGGTGGAAGTTGCTCAGGTGACGTCCAAGTGAAATCGCAAGCCGACCTGGATCCACTTAAACCATGCAAAAAGTACACTGGCTCAATCGTGATTGACAAGACAGCCGCAAACGACTTGAAGCTTCCTGGCGTAATGCAGATCGATGGCGAAATTAATATCCATGATAACAATGCGCTAACACGGCTTTCCTTCCCACATTTGCAAGCTGTCAATAGTTTGAAGCTGGAAAACAACAGGGCATTGAACAAGTTGGATTTGAGCGCGTTGACGACCGTTCACTCGCTAGAAGTGGCTGTTCATCCGGCTTTGCCAGAAATCTCGTTCCCAGCAGGCTTATCTCAAATGTCCAGGGTGACCATTTCGGACACAACCGTGACGCGAATCGATGGATTAAAGATAGACAAGGCTGATGAAATTGTCATCGACAATAACATTTACTTGCGAACGTTGGACGTTGGAAACTTGACCGAGGTTACCAAATCCATGTCCATATCTGCCAATTCGCCCGATTTGACGTTGGATGTATGTATTTATAAAATCATTTCATATTCATATGATACATACACAGTGTCCTTTTTTATCCGATTAGGTACTACGTTGACGTATAACATTAGCATTTAATTTAGGACTTACCAACATATCTCATGCGCTGCTTTTAGGTATCCCATTTGCATGCTTTACAACAAGGATCGTTCCGCAATTTGGCTGGTATTTCCATGGGTAGCCTGGATAAAGTCTCTGGCGACCTATCGTTTATTTCTAATAAGTTTACCTCGTTGGAGTTGCCCAAGGTCACCGACGTTGGTGGTACGTTCACTTTATCGAACAACAACAACCTCGAAAAGCTCTCGGTACCTGAATTGCGACACTTGGGTGGCGCATTATCCGTTGGCAACAATACACGATTGACCCAGGTTAATGCATTTGCAAAACTCGAAGAAGTGGATGGAACGTTGGATTTAACTGGTTCATTTGACGAAGTCAAACTTCCCCAGCTCCAGGATGTAAGTAAAGGAAATTCTTGAAAGATAGGAACCTTTTTTGTCTCTAATCTGTATTTTATTGGCGTTATGTAGGTCCGTGGTGGATTGAACGTGCAAACGACCAGTCAGAAATTTTCATGCGACGACGTTGGTCATTTGAAGCAGGGAGGTGTGATCAAGGGCAATTCCTTTGTGTGTAAGTCGCGTGTAGCGCATCCAAAATCTGGTTTGCCTGGAAATGGTATGGATATTGACGGATCGACCAGCGATAGCCATAGACTTCTTTCAAATTGTCATCTAGCAGCAGCTGCATTCATTGCTGCCGCCATCACAATCGCATAATCACACCCCCCACCATTTTTGTCAATCAGATACAATATCACCCACGGCCATTTTTTACAGTATACCTACATTTTTTAAATAAACATGCGTTCTAACTAATATAACAAGATGGGAGAAACAACAAACTTTTGCGGGGTAGCGGGAGAGGGAGGATTAGAAGAGAAAGGGAGAGAGAGAAAAGATTAGACACTGGAGATCGTGTTTGTTGCTTATTCAGTTCTTCTATCCAAGACACTATGTAACTGTCGTGCAGGCGAGTCCAAGGTACCCAACAACTTGCGACCAGGTGATTCCAGGACACCAAGCAATTCAGCACGGACATATTCAAGACCAGGTAATTCGACGACCTTGTTGACATCGGCAAACGACAATAACGTTTCATCCACCTTACCACCCAAAAGCGTCAATTTCTTGTTCTTGTTGATGACCTGCATCGCCTTTTTCAAAAGACCAGGGTGCTCTTGGTCGCTCAGGTTGGTATGCAAAACACATGCTGGACCGCCGGCCAACAAAGGTTCCAAGTTGGCGTATTTGGTCGTTCGCAGAACAGAGTTAAAGACACCGGAACGTAACACGGTCAGTTTGGTAGGTGCGTCGAGTTGGGCAAGTTCTTGTCGAATCGTTGTGAATTCCTTGACGGTCAAATTGTTGTGCTGGAATATGAACACGATGCGATCGTTGTTAATGATGCTTTCGTATTGGTTGTGTAAGTAGGTGCGGCGTGGTGGGTGGACGGGTGCTTTTTTCTTGGATTCGGTGGCGTCTATTGTTAAACAATGATAATTAATCTCCACTGTTCAATTTCGCTTTTTCTTAATTTTTTTTTCTATCTACAATATTAAAAAAGAGAGAGCGAGAGAATGACTAGGACTAGACGCTATCGGGTGTATATTGTGCTTACATGTTCGGGCGGCTGACCATGTCGCCAATTGTGAAGGTGTGCGGTTTATTCCTCGCGTGAGCGAGCATGCGACTATTTATTAAATACACAATCAAGATAAGCCCATGGTTAATGTCTTTTCACTAGAGGTGAATGTCAAAAAAAGTTGCATATTCTTATACCTGTACGGAGAGACATGGCACCAACAAAGTTACACTGCGTTTGAGCTGGCGTGTAGCGGAATACTTTCAGGTCTCCATGTCAGGGTTGAGCAAAGCCACCCGATTTTGAAAGCCGGAGTTCGTTGCATGATGTGGTAACATTGGCAAGGCAACAACGGCTTTCCAGCCTTGACAACAAATTAACTGTTCTGTAATAGTAATACTCCCGCTTTGATAATTCGCTGGCACGACCATTAAGCTTGCGTTTTTCTCAAGAATTCACTTATACGCACACAAGAACTTCTTTGTTTGTTCAAGTAACTATATGATATATGATTCTCACCATTGCCAGATTAACTATGTATCATCCTCAAATTCAAACACCAAAGTATACTCTCGATGACAATAAAGTTTTCTGTTCTATCACTATTATAGGAAATAAGCGCCATTGCCATCCTATGAAGCTATCACTCTAATCAGAATAACGCGATGGGAAAAAACACTCAGGCAGTCTATCAGTAGGAGGGCATCCAACATGTATAACATGGTTCAAACACCGCGGAAATCTATTATAGAACCATTCATATTGCACTCTGCTATCCCTTTTCCTTTTTATTCCCTTCAAAGTTAAAAATGACCCGTACGTATACGTTTGTGCTCCTTAAACGAACGAACGATTCAACATTTCAATTCTATGTAAATTGATTGAAAATTGTGGCTACTAAGCAATTATTTGTTTCAAATAGGTGGAAATCAGCGTGAACTTGCTCGTGCCAAGAACTTGAAGAAGCAACAAAAGCAAGGCAAGGGTAAACAAGATCTCAAAGGCATGTCCATTACCCAAAAGAAAGAAAGGTAAATTGGTTCTCAAAAGAATGTACTGCATCCTCTGGCGGCAAAAGATATATTTGTTCGGCATCAAGATGAAATGCTTATTGGATTACGATCACTCTTTTTTGTTGTTGTGTAGTGATGCTGCCATTATGCGTGCCAAACAAGAAGCTGCGGCAGCCAAAAAGGAAGAAACAGCAGCAGCAGGGAAGAAATAGCATACCATGACCGTACGGTTTTCTTTTTACATTCACAAAACAACAGCCCTCCCCATTTATCAGTTTTGATAAAACAAAATGATTTGCTTTCTTGTAGAGTGCCAGAGAATGTGTATGAGAAAGGGTATTGCAAAACACATCGGCTATGATCCCCTCCCCTCCTTTCTCTTTCTTCTGGCCCTTTCTCTCTTCCCTTCTTTCCCCATCAACACAACATCATCAACATTAATTAATTATATCAAACATGCTTAACATTCTCTCATCTTACTCTTTACTAATCTTGTGGTTATCTTCTATCTGTGTCTTCTTATATCCTTGGTGTTTCTTGATAAGATTATCGCTGGTGGGTTTTTATATGGGGAATAATTGACAACAAAGATTTATCCACCCGAAACGGTTTGTTTTCTTTTGTTTTCCCTTTAAGAAAAATGTCATAAAAACAACAACAAAATAAAACATATTTATATAATTTTATAACAGAACAATCAGGGGTAAAAAGAAAGAACGTTCCGCTTTATCACCATGCCAAACAAGTCAAAGTAACATGATCCAATCTTCGCCACTTGCCATTCATGGCGGCCTCCAAGTCTTTATCTGTAGCAATCAACAACACTATGCCTTGTTGTATTATCCGATGCTGACGGTTTAATGAGAGTGTGTTTTTGTGTTGTTGCTGCTGCTGCAGAGACAATGGAGGTAAGGGTGGCGGTAAAAAGTTGCTGGCTTTGGAGAAAAACGTCAGATATCTTGCAGAGGTCAATGCCATGAGCGTATCCTGATCCAACCATGGTTCTGAACAGTTCAGTGTCAAAGTATATAACGCCCCTTGTCGATCCGATCGACTGACATGATGGTATGCGAGCACAGAAGGTGTAGGCAATGGATCCAGGTTGCGCTGCGTTAATTCTCGATCAAGGGCGCTGCGTAACTCGTGGAGCATGGATCGACGATGAATACGGACGGTGATAAATACGCGCGGGCTCAGGAACAGAAAGATCTGGATCGTGCTGCCGTTCAAGCTATGGACAGTGGTGGGTGGCGATACTACAAGTGTTGCTGCTTGGGATTTTAAATCAATAGATGAAGAAACTGCTGTCATGCTCCCTCCTGTTCCGCCTTCTCCTATTGTTTGTCCTTTGTCGTCGTCGTTGTCGTGAAGAGGGTTGTCATTTCGTAGGAAAGAGGATCCATATCGTGGTTCTGCTGTTTTCATCTTCGTCAACGGTGCACCCATTACATTTATATCGGTATTGCTGTTACCCTCATCATCATTATTCAACAGCCATCGACGACGGCAACGACGTAAGGTTGGTGGTGTTGGTGGTAATGTCTTGGTATAATGATAGTACCGATAAGGCTGGTAGTTGAGAAATCGCAACACGATAAAAGACTGGCTGACCTCGAGCGGCATCGTAGTAAACAGCCGCGACAAATAGCAATCGATGTGTTGTTGCTGCCATTTTCTTTTGGCTCGCTTGTTTGCCAACCAGTATATCTCTTGGGTTGAATGATAACTTCTCAAATTGGGTAGAGTTGTTATGGTCGGTGCTGTAGTAGCAGCAGTTTTGGTGATAGTGGTTTCATTATGAGATAATGATGATGATGAGGAAGTGCATATCTTTTCGCACAATTGGTCGGTGTAAGAATCAACCCGTCGTCGGCTATTGACGGTACCGTTATTGCTGCCGTTACCGTTATGGTGATGGTTGTGATGCTGAAGGTGCGCTATTCCGCTGGGCGTTGTTTGTGATCGAACGATAGCTGTAGTATACGCATTGTCCAACTGTGCATCGAGTCGTAGGAAATCGTCGTACCGTCTGTACATCCTATAAACAGGCTCGTTTGTTGGGAACACTTGAAGCTGGAACCAAGTTTCTTTGCCGCGGCATTCATATGAACGCACGGATGCATTACGTATAAAATGATAACTCATAATGTGCTGATGGCAAGAAACAAGTTGAGATAAAAGAAGTTAAAGAAAGGATATCAGCAAGAAGTAGTTAGTGGTGGGTAGTACTAGTGATGCGTGTTTGTCCAAAAAAAAAGAACACGACGTATAAATTGGGTGATGATGAGTTCCTAATAATTTGCATTCCAAAGCAACAAGGGAAAGAAAAAAGGAGGCTCTGTCCCCAAAGAGGTGTTTTTTTGGTGCTCATAGCAATGTCGTCGTTCGATCCAAAAGGTTGCGCAGTTCTCGATCCTCTCATTCCCGACTCTATAGAAGAGAAGGGAATGAAGGATTGAGTCGATGATCGCTCTTTCCTTCATGAAAATGCTATATATAGTTCATATTATCCGTTATGTGATTGGAGTGCATATACGCAGGCAACTCTATTACTGAGTATGATGCGAATAGTTGTGCATGGTACTGAAGAAGAGGAATATTACAAACATACAACAGATATCTGTACTCTGAGAGATTACACATGCCACCTTAGGTACACACATACATTGAGCACTGACAGCTGGCAAAAGGCATGATCCCTCCCCTTCCCCTCCCTCTGGAAATGCATGCAGACCCTTTTATTTACCAAAATAGTCAAATTACAGCACTTTAATTTTGTTAAGGTATGCTCTATCCACCCCCTCATTCCCATTTTCATTCTGACTTTTGAGTTGTGCATACAATGAGGGTGGCAACGCCAAATCTATACACTTTGCTCTCATTACTAATAGTCCCACTAATAGCAAACTTTTTTTATGCTAAACTGTACAGGAATATCAAATACGATGTTCTATTGTTTTTTTTTTGAAGAAGAATGCTTTTAACTTTTTAAACAATGATGCTCAAATAATAATAAGATTGTAAGATGTCTAATATACACGAATCATCCCACACTCACTAAGTAATAGTTTACTGAGTAGCTGGTGCCTTGCCGAGAAGCGAATGGTGGATATCAACAGATGGCAGGCGCGACAATGCGGCCTTGCGAGAATCTTGTTGAAGGGCAGCGCTGTAATGATAAAAGCACATGTTTAGCAGGCTTTCTCTCTATCTCTCTCTAAACCCCTTACCATGCAAAACATCAAACAAAAACAAAACTCACTCCATGATGACAAGCGAGGCCATGGCTTCAACAATAGGTACGGCTCTAGAAACAACGCATGGATCGTGGCGACCACGGGCTGCCAAGGTACCAAAGACACCGTCATACGAAGTAGTCTGCTGGTCCCGGGAAATCGTAGCTGGGGGCTTGAATGCGACACGGAAGTAAATGTTTTCACCGTTAGAGATACCGCCCTGAACACCACCAGAGTAGTTTGTTTTGGTACCGAAACGGCCGCTTTCCAGATGGATGAAGGGATCGTTATGGACATGGCCAGACATACGCGTGCCGTTGAAACCGGAGCCAAACTCAAAACCTTTGGTGGCAGGGATAGATAACATGGCATGTGCCAAAAGAGCCTCCAACTTGTCAAAACAAGGCTCACCAAGACCAATAGGGCAGTTACGGATCACACAAGTGACAGTACCACCGATTGAGTCCTTTTCCTCTGACTTCTTTGTGATCACCTATATCGTATAGAACGAATTGCTTATGCTTTAGCTTTTCCACCCTTACTTTTGAAACCAAATTACCTGCTAAAATGCTTATGTTTTACCTCCTTCATGGCTTCAGCAGTAGTGGCGTCGGGACAGCGAGTAATGTCAGCATCAACGTTTTCGCGCGAGATGGTATTTAAGAAGTCGTAAAACTCGGGTTTGACGGACTCGGTATCTTCCAATTCATGGATAAAAGGCATAGCCACCTTGCCAACGCTAGAAACGAAAGCAACGATCTCGACATTATAAGCCTGCTTGAGGTACTTTTCGGCGATAGCACCTGCAGCTACACGGCCAATTGTTTCACGAGCAGAAGCACGACCGCCACCAGACGAAGCCTTGACACTGTATTTTTCGAGATATGTATAATCGGCGTGCGAAGGTCGAGGGTAAATGTCGGTTTCGCTGTAATCGTGTGGACGTTGATCCAAGTTGGGTACTTGAAGACCGATGGGTGTACCGAGGGTAATTCCAAACTCTGTACCAGACATGATTGTCACCTTGTCTTTCTCATTGCGCTACAAATGTTCACAAACCCAAATGGTGCGCATTAGAGAAAAAAGAAGTTGTCATAATACATATATCAAAAGAGTCAGTGAAGAAGGTTATAGTATCCATACAGGTGTTGTCAACTTGCTTTGACCGGGTCTTCTGCGTGACAGCTGAGGCTGGATATCGTCTTCAGTCAATTGCATTCCAGGTGGGACACCATCGACAATGGCGCCGACACCCTTGCAGTGGGATTCGCCATAGGTTGTAACACGGAAGAGTTTGCCAAAGCTGCTCATAGTTTTAGTTTTAATAAAGACGAAAAGAGAGAAAGAGGGGGTGGGGAGGAGAAGGAAATCTGTCAGAACAAAGCAGACAGTAAAGGTTGGTTGGTTGTCGGATAAAAATCTCCAGACCCAGCCGATCAGTTTTATCAGTTGAGAAAAAAGATCGGCAGTCACCATTCAATGAGAAGTATCGTGAGTCATTGGCGTCCGTGCATAATCATCGAGGGCTTACCCCTTATTGCAAGAGCTTTAGTTTTATGCAAAAAAGAAAAAACAAATTCGGCTATGCTCCACATGTACATTACTCAATCATATAGTAGGTCACACTCGGCCTCCAAAAAAAAAAAAATCTTTTATATAAAGATATGAGCCCGGCTGGAAAACAGCACGCAATTGATTAGGTTTTTGGCTTCCTTTTTCTCTACTCAGACTTGACTTGATAATCGGATCATTGGCGTCTGGCTATCATCTGATTGATACAGTAGATTTTCGTTATTATGATAGCATTAATTCTCAAACTCTGAGTGAATTAAGTGAGGTTGATAGTTAGCGAAAACTAGTGCTCTCTGCTGTTCTTGTCTGTTTGGTAGCTCCGAAAAAAACTGAAGGTTAACAAGTGTGAAATTGAAGGGGTAGACTGTATACCTATCACTGTATGCAACTGAAAAATTAGCCGACTCTTCTACCAAAAAATAGTTAATGCGCGCCTTGCTGTTATATGAAATATATGATGTGGAGGATTCATATATCAACAAAAGTACTGTAATAAGCTTTGCCACTTACGTATAGCACGACAATTACTGGCGTGAGTTACATAGCATGCCGGGATGCTTCGGATGATATTTGATAGTCCCCTTTGATCCTCTGTACTGTACATGATCAAGACAGGTTGTGAGACACTACATCGTTTGCGGTATATATGTTACTGTTGTGTCTGTTTCTCAATGGACACTCTAATGTTACACACCAAGAAGAGTGGTACAGTACATAAAAGAAGTATTTTAACTCTGGTGGGCTTAGAGTCCGTGATCGTATCACATAAATCCAAGAAAAAGAAGTCAGTACAAGAAGTGCGGAAAGTACTTCTCCTCTGTTTCCCTCGTTTCCTTTCGCTGTTCCTTTTCGTTAATACATAGTTGTTTTGCTCCAAGCGGTTTCCCTATCAAATTTGAGGGCTTTATTACTAGGTAATGCAACAAGTACCTTCATATTCGTCAAGAATTGATACGGTTGTAAATGCTTCAGCCTTCAAATGCATATGATTAACGCATCGTATATAACAGAGAACAATGTATATCACGTACGAAGTTGAGCAAAGCTGCCACGTATCTCCCTTTTTTGGCTCCTTCCAGTATTGCGAGAAGCCCGACTTGAAGAAATCGCAAACGCTTTCCACACCGCCAAAATCCGATTTCATGCCTACCTGGCTGGTTCGCGTGTCTGATATGAGCGTGGTCAGAGGCAGCACCGTGACAGACGAAGGATATTGCACGGTCTCATATTCCTGGAGCTGGTCTGGCAATATGATTCTTGACAAGAAAAATAGCAAAGCGGAACGAGATGATCAAGGGAAGCACAAGATTATCTACCCAGCCATGACTGTACGACAAGATGAGCCAACGGGACGGGAAGGAATACATATACCTGGCCACACAAAATATGTAAAATTCGAAGCAGTTGTCCAGCAAGTATGCATGGACTTTGGAGTCAAGTATGTCTGGTTCGATCAGATGTGCATCAACCAAGGCAACAAAGAGGAGAAGCTGCGAGAAATACGACAGATGCACCGAATTTACAGCAATGCCTACTGCACCGTCGTTCTGATTCCTGAACTTCACACCAAGTCTGCAAAAGAAATACATGAGATGGGCCTAAACGATAACCTGTATATTGCCGACCTAGAGGAATTCTATACATCTGAATGGGTCAAACGGTTATGGACTTTTGAGGAAGCCTTGCTGTCGCCAAAAATGCTTTTTGTGGGCCGAAACATGCATATGTGGTCGTCTACAGTACCGGAAAACGATTCATTTCTGAATCTCCTTTGTCAAGAGAAGAAGCGATTGCCACCGTCGCAGCAGCAGCAACGAGGATACAATGTCAGCACTGTTTTATACCATGCACATTTGCGCACCAGTACCAAGGAACACGACCGAGCATTTGCACTTGCCAATTTGTTTCCTCACATTATGGATGGTATTAGCGTTAGCTATGACCAGCCAGTACTCGACCTCATGGTTGAATTTTACGGCCACTTAGCAATGATGGATCTCTCAATTCTGTGCTTCAATAAATGCACCGACAGCTACAAGGAGCGCGGGATAGAGAACATGAGCCAAATTTCCTGCGACACTACTGTGGAAGAGCACCACGATATTCCAATTAAACAACATGACCTTCCGTCTTGGACTGGCATCAATGGGGAGCATCTACGGATTGACCTAGGACCTGACGCCCCTGCTGATCATTTACAAACGACGTTTTCGAATTACAACATAACCGGAAGATTTATGAATATCACTTGTATGGGATTAACTTCCATAAACGACAACAAATCCGACACCCACAGCGATGAATTTACCCTCTGCCACGACGACCTTTTGACTATGCCTGATTCTCGAGATTATAGCGTCAACAAAGTTATCACCCAAAATTTCGAACTTGCGATTTCCGTGCGACTACCCGGTCAAAGCGAGGACAGAATAGTGGGTCTCCGAGTAACCTTTACTTCAAATGAAGCCAATATTATCAAGCAAGGCTCAGAGTACCTTCGATTACTCTCGCACTTTGTACCCATAAACAAGAAAAAGTTGCTCTGGCACCCTATACGTAGTGCAAGCAAAACGTATATTTGGTTTGAATTTCATTTGACGGAGCAAGACTGTGTCGGCACAGAATATGTTATACTCTCTGAAGTGCTCTTCAATACTATAGATACAGACGTGAAGCACTGTCCTGTGATCAAAAAAGATCGGGATGATGGCTATTATAAAGCTATTGGTACTTGTAGCATAAGAAACCATGATCATCTTTTCTCTGATTACATTGTACCTAGAAAGACTTATATAATTAAATAAATCACAGTTGCAAATAGCTTGTATAAGAATAGAGTGATTTGACATCAATGTTTCTCTAGCGCACACTAATATGTTTGTTTCAAGTGGTTGTTCGTGTCACGAAATAGCATTTATAAGTTTGCTCGAGTTAGGATGTACAACGCCAGGATAATAGCTTAGGACACTGGCGTTACACGTATGGGAAAACTGTTAGCGCTCCTCTTGAACAAGCCACTGCTGTATAAACAATTTTATAGTACACATACGCATATACAATGTGCTACAAATGAAACAATAGTAGACCATCGACCGTTTTTTCTTTTCGCCTTCTTCTCCCCAGTGTTTTATCTGGTAGATTAGAATACTCCAGTGTACTTACTGCACTATCTTCCTATTCTGTTTTATTTTTTTACTTTCAACCATTGGCGCAAACGCTCTATCTTTTGAGAACGCGTTTCACGACGCACCACTGCAGTCCGCATCAGTTATAGTAAGATAAAAGGTTAACGGCAAGAATATTCCTCCTATTTTTTCTGCTTCTGCTTCAGCAAGAAGAAGGACTTATAAATGGTATTCTTATAGCCACATTAGCATATGTATATTACATACGAGGTTAAACAAAGCTGTCATGAATCCCCGTTTTTCGGATCGTTTCAATATTGCGGGAGGCCACAGACCCAAAAATCTCAAAGGCTTTCCGCGCCCCCAAAATCCGATTTCATGCCCACCTGGCTTATTCGTGTGTCTGACATGACTGTAGTAAAAGGCGACACAGTAGCGAACGAAGGATATTGCGCAATTTCGTACTCCTGGAACTGGTCTGGCGACATGGTTATAAGCAAGGATCGTAGTGGTAGCAAGATGGTACGACATGACCAAGAGAAGCACAAGATTATTTATCCGGCCAGGACTATACGACGAAATCCAAGAGGCAGGAAACATATCCCTCGTCAGACCAAGTTTGTAAAGTTCGAAGCGATCGTCCAACAGATATGCAAAGATTTTGGAATCAAGCACATCTGGTTCGACCAAATGTGCATAAACCAAAACGACAAAGAAGAGAAGCAACGCGAAATACGACAGATGCATCGAATTTACAAGCATGCCTACTGCACCGTCGTCCTGGTTCCGGAACTTCACGCCGGGTCCGCAAGGACAAAGCACAACATGAATCTGAATGATTGGCGATATATCACTGATTTGGAGGACTTATATACATCTGAATGGGTCAAGCGGCTATGGACTTTTGAGGAAGCATTATTGTCGCCCAGGATTCTTTTTGTTGGACGAAACGTGCACATGTGGTGGTTCACAGTTCCAAAGAACGATGTATACTTGAAGCTATTTTGTCAAGAAACGAAGCGATTACGGGATAACCGACAACAGCACCATCTAGAACGACGAGTGTACGATGTCAGCACAGTTTTGTACCATGCACATTTGCGCATTAGTACCAAGGAACACGACCGAGCTTTTGCGCTTGCCAATCTATTTCCTCACATTTTAGACCGTATCAATATCAACTACGACCAACCTGTACTCGATCTGTTGATAGACTTTTACGGCCATTTGGCGGACATAGATATTTCTATTCTCTGTTTCGGCGCACGTGGCGCCAATTACAAAATGCCTACAGTTGCAGACAACAATGAATACCGCGACAAGAAACAACATTACAATCTTCCTATACAAAAGCATAACCTCCCTTCATGGACCGGGGCAGCCGGGCAGCATATATTACGCGAAGAAGGATACGACGAGGAAGCCCCTGTTGGTCATTTGGAGACCGCGTTCAAGAACTACACAATTGATGGGAGATACATGCATGTACACTGTCTATGGCTTACTGCTGCAACGAATGGTTATGAATGTGTTAACAAAGACAACGATGACGGCGCATTCACACTTGTTGAAGACGACCTGCCGCCTATACCCGTTATTGAGGATAATAATGGTGGCAATGATGCGTTCGCTCCAACATTTCTGCTTGCGATTCTTGTCCAACTGCCAGGCCACAGCAATAAGAGAATAGTGGGGCTTGAGGTGACAAGTGAACCGATCAGCAGAGATTACACGCTACGTCGTGCCTCTGAACAGCTACGAATGCTATCTCACTTTATGCCGGTGAGCAAGAATGCCTTACTCTGGCATCAAGTTGGTCCAGCCCCACCCAAACCATACACTTGGTTTGCTTTCAACCTTACGGAAACGGTATCTGCCAACGAAGAGTACGTTATACTCTCAGAAATCGAATTTGGTACGGATCTTCCCCAGACCAAGTTTTGCCCAGTCATAAAAAAGAATGCAAGTTGTTACAAGGCTATCGGTGTTTGTACCATAGGAAATTACGATCATCTTTTTTCTGGTTACACTGTACCTAGACAGACTTACATAATTGAATAAACCACCATAACATACTACAGATGTTGGTTAGTTACTAACATAAGATAATACTTTATACTCTTTGATACTTCGTGTCATCAATTGTCATTACTGTCATGAATTACTTCAGCACAAAGTAACCATACCTTAGCAGAAACCCTTGGGCATGGACAAAAGACGCACAATCTGTAACGTTACACATCTGGGAAGGCAGTAATACAATTTAAAGTGCTTGGTGTTGGCTTGGCTCAAAAAGTCATGCGTATTAACTATAAAGTACACATAGTTTTGCTGCATTCCAAAAAGTGGGAAACAACGGCCTGACTCTTTATTTTTCGTATTTTTTTATTCTTTAAACACCAGTGCTATCAACAGATCCAAGTACAAGCATTGTATCTGGTAGCCTCTGCAGAATCTATTATACCTGACTCCTTTTCATCACTTCCTGGCTGTTTTGGTCTTCTTACAAACAGCTGCAACGTTGTTATTAACGCCATTCAGCAATTACCAGTATCACTGCTGGCCATAGTTACCTCAGTAAGATTAAAACGTTACGGTAATGGTTCGCGTTCAATTATATCTCGCCTTCACGCTCTAGTAGCAAGAGCATTGTCTTCACGTACTCATTTAAAGAGATGTAGTATTACTGTAAGGTAATAAGAGTAGAAAAATGTATATCACGTACGAAATCAAACAAAGCTGCCACGTTTCCCCGTTTTTCGGTACGTTCCAATATTGCGGGAGGCCACAGACCCAAAAATCTCAAAGGCTTTCCGCGCCCCCAAAATCCGATTTTATGCCCACCTGGCTTGTTCGCGTGTCTGACATGACCGTGGTAAAAGGCGACACAGTAGCGAACGTAGGATATTGCGCAATTTCGTACTCCTGGAACTGGTCTGGCGACATGGTGATAAGCAAGGATCGTAGTGGTAGCAAGATGGTACGACATGACCAAGAGAAGCACAAGATTATTTATCCGGCCAGGACCATACGACGGAATCCAAGAGGCAGGAAACATATCCCTCGTCAAACCAAATTTGTAAAGTTTGAAGCGATCGTCCAACAGATATGCAAGGATTTTGGAATCAAGTACATCTGGTTCGACCAAATGTGCATAAACCAAAACGACAAAGAAGAGAAGTTACGCGAAATACGGCAGATGCATCGAATTTACAAGCATGCCTACTGCACTGTCGTCCTGGTTCCGGAACTTCACGTCGAGTCCGCAAAAGCAAAGTTCAGCATGATTCTGAAACATTGGCGTTATATCACTGATCTGGATGCCCTGTATACTTCTGAGTGGATCACACGATTATGGACTTTAGAGGAAGCATTAATGTCGCCAAGAATGCTTTTTGTTGGACGAAACGTGCACATGTGGTGGTTCACAGTTCCAAAGGACAATTTAGACTTGAAGCTATTCTGTCAAGAAACGAAACGATTACGGGATAACAGACAACAGCACCATCTTCAACGACGCGATTACGATGTCAGCACAGTTTTGTACCATGCCCATTTGCGCATTAGTACCAAGGAACACGACCGAGCGTTTGCGCTTGCCAATTTATTTCCTCACATTTTAGACCGTATCGATATCAACTACGACCAACCTGTACTCGATCTGTTGATAGACTTGTACGGCCATTTGGCGAACATGGATATCTCTATTCTCCGTTTCGGCAAACGCAGCGCCAGTTACATGTTGCCTACAGATGCAGACAACAATGAATCCCGCGACAAGAAACAACATTACGATATTCCTATACAAAAGCATGACCTTCCTTCATGGACTGGGGCAGCCGGGCAACATAAGCCACGAGAACAAGGTCATTTGGGGACTGCGTTCAATAACTACACAATTGATGGGAGATACATGCATGTACACTGTCTATGGCTTACTGCTGCTACGAATGGTTATGAATGTGCTAACAAAAACGACGATGACGGCGCATTCACACTTGTTAAAGACGACCTGCCGCCTATACCCGTTATTGAGGATAATAATGGTGGCAATGATGCATTCGCTCCAACATATCTGCTTGCGATTCTTGTCCAACTGCCAGGCCACAGCAATAAGAGAATAGTGGGGCTTGGGTCGGCGAAACGGATCTGCAGGCTTGAGGCGACAAGTGAACCGATCAACTGGAGTTACACACTACATCATGCCTCTGAACAGCTACGAATGCTATCCCACTTTATGCCGGTGAGCAAAAATGACTTAATCTGGCATCAAGTTGGTCCAGCCCCACCCAAACCACATACTTCGTTTAACTTCGACCTTACGGAAACGGTATCTGCCAACGAAGAGTACGTTATACTTTCAGAAATCAAATTTGGTACGAATGAGCACTTTTTATGCCCAGTCATAAAAAAGAATGCAAGTTATTACAAGGCTATCGGTGTTTGTGATATACAGAATCACGATCATCTTTTTTCTGATTACACTGTACCTAGACAGACATTTATCATAAATTAATTAAGTTATCAGCGTATAATCTGCTGACATTACGCGCGCCAGAGGGTGGTAGATCAAATAGTTCCGCTTGAGGTCGGAATAGCCTTTGTATCATATGTGTGTACCATGCACATTGTGTACCGTTATTTAGTTTAATTGTTTGTTGTATATATTCATTGGCACCGACATATCCGTATCGGAAACAAACCTTTGATTCTTATATACACAGTAAAATCAGCCCCTATGAACGTACCTGCTAAACCATTGACCACCAGATTGCTTATGTTTATACACAACTGCTAGTTTTTGCTGCTTCATGGTTGTAGATTGTCGTTTTTTGGAGATTAATATTATTGAGGGTGGCACTCCCTCAATGATGCGCTTAGAGCCCAGTGCAATCATATCAGCTGCATAATGGGGCGGGTTGACATCTGAAAGATGAAATGAAGGATAGTATAACTTTTTGGGAGTTCATCAGCAATTAAATTAATACATAGTGACTCAACACGCAACTCTGGGGCTTCTCCTGATGAGCTCTCCATATAGTATCATAAGTAATCTATTTGCCAGACCCCATTAAGGGAACTACAATTCAGAATAGCGATGGGAATTACGTCTCATTGCTTATATCACTATTATAGCGGGCGACTATTGTATTAATTTGTTTTGTGCTTTTGGCCCTCGACATTAGTATATGTGGCAAGCCTATGACCAGGGTTACCGAATCGACGGCAGGTTTTACAGTGCCATGTACGAGTTTTCCCATCCAATCGATTCCGTCCGTTTTACTCGGTGGGTACTAGTAGTGAAGTAAAACATCCAGAGCATGTCTTTTAAGGCATCATTGAAGTTGTTGTTATCTGTTGTATATTTTTGTTTGGTTTATTGTTCTTTTATCGTACAAGGGAAAATATAGCAGAAATAATTATGATTAGATACAATGTACATGGTATTTACAATCGTGTTCCTTTTAAGAAAAGAAGAGTGGTTTTGGGTGATTTTGATGACGATTGGGGCGGGGGTGGGGTGGGGTGGGGAAGTGTATGGAAAACAAAGTAGTAGAAAAGGCAGGACGAAAAGTAAGGAAAGATTTAAGCATCATTCTTGAAAGCGGCGATAAGGTCTTCAATGGCAAACCAGCTGCCAAAGACAAGACCGACGACGCCGAACAACAAGATCAAAAAGTTCCATGCAAGTTCATAGATGGGCTTGGATTTGAAACCTGTGAGTCTCCAGTAACAGACGATTGGAATGATGAAAATAGTGGTACAGTAGCCGAAAGCGCCAAAGAGAGCCATCAACAAGTCAAAATAGGGGACGACGCAGCCAATGACGCAGCAAAAGACGATGGTCAAGGCACGGAAAGCAGCACGGAAGATGAACTCACGAACACGGCCCCATCGTTCGACGGTAATGTTCAACATGCTTTCACATTCCAAGGTAAACGACATTAAAAAGATAGGTGCAGAGACTGTGACGTTGACGGTCATCAAGACGATAGCGATAATGCGAGGAACACCACCGGGGATGCTATAGTAGATTGGGTTTTGGACAGAGTCTCCATAGACATAGTAACCAGGAATAGCAATGAAAATATAAAGCATGGCACACGTGGAGACACCGCCAGCAACAACGCGATTCCAGTGTTGAGGTTTCTTCATGGATGCTTCAACGCTAGGATAGACGACATTACCACCTAAGCTGAATGCAATCGTGGACAAGGCGGCAGGGTAACCTTCCCAAATAATGTTGTGGTGCGTAACGCCAGTTACATTGGGACGGTCGATAGCAGCCACAACGACACAAATAACAGATGTGACCAAGATCGCAACGGAGCCGACTAGACTGGTCCATCCCATGTCTTTCATGCTCTTGAAAAAGATATATGGGATTGCAACAAATGCAGAAAAGACGATGGTCCATGGAATTTGACCGATTTCTGCGACGGTTCCTCTACATACTATAGACACAGATTGTTTGTTAGCAAAATTGAAATAGAATGGCAGTGGATAGCGTGTGTAAATCGTACAAGGTAATGAGATGCTTACATTCGTTCATGTTGGAGCCGCAGAGTACCAAATACAAGACAGGCGTACCGAGCACGATCCAGGTTTGGAAGAAGAAGCACACGCAGGCACCGATTTTACCAAAGGCATCTTGAGCCACGGCAGTGAGGGTGGGGAGACGAGTTTGTTGTTTACGAGGGTGGTATAGACTTTTGATCAAAACGATGGAGCAGTACTATTTCATATATATATCATCATTGGATTAGAAACGAAATGCTTCTGCTTTATATAAGATCTTAAGGAACAAAAAAAAAAGAACACTTACGATGGCCATCCACCACGCAACTAGCAGCAAGGCTACTGCGCCCCAGCCTCCTTTGCTCAGGGCCTGGGACAGACCCAGCATACCAGTACCACAGACACAGCATACGATATTCCAGTAAGCGTGCACAGAGCTACCAGCATTGGATCGATCACAATCAAAAGCGTTACCGAATCTACCTTTCTCGGTATCTAGATTAGGGCCGGGCAAGATGGGAAGAATGATTAGTATAAGGTACTTTTATGATTATAAGGGTTGTGTTTGTGCGTGGGAGAGTTTCTATATAGGGCTGTTTTATTTTGTAATGCTGCTAATGAAGTATGGAGGAAGATGATGATGGTGTAGTACCTATGGATAACGTGGAGTTTCTATCCGACGACGAATATTCGACTTTTTTTTCCATTTTTGTTTCAAAGTATAAAGAGTGATGAAGGAAAAGGATGAAGGGGAGAAAAAGCGTCTTTTATATATATATATACCCTCTCCCCTTCCTCCGCTGAACCCCAGTTGACGTTGTTCCACCTCACTGGAACAGCCCATCCCAAAAGCTATAGAAGAGATGTTGTTGCGCTCCGACGTAAAAAAGAAACAGCGGGGCCTGACTAGAGTGGATGTCATCTCCTGCTATATGAAACACACGCGTACATATGGAAAACCAGGACAACAAAGAGCATATATCAATCACTTCGTATAACCCCGGAGTCCGGATTGGCACTGACACAAATAAGCCAATGACAGTGGTGCGTTTTTGGGTTTCAGACAGCCAGAAGGGTAACCGGCAAGCTATTTCCGATGTTTCTGTGGAGGACACTGGGTGTGTCGTTATGTTGATTGGTCCCTCATTTCCTTTTTTTCCTTTGAGTCGTCGTTAGTCCGCACATGCACCCTAATTTTTTCTTAGAGCATGTGACCCTAGTTTCCCCATATATTACCGGGATTTTAAACTCTTTGTTTTATGTGACGATAAGATTTATGTCATGTATCAGCACCGTTGGAGCACGGACGACGCTTTTCTCTTGCTCTTACCAATTATAAGATAATGGGCTATATGCTAGGTCTGACAGAAAGTGAAATGTTGCCAAGGTATAACCAGGAAAGGTTTATCTGGTGGTACTAAACGTCATCGTCTTTTGATCTTTTGCTTTACAGCAAATCGTCGGAGTGAAAAAAGAGAACATTTCCATCATCTCCACGAAGCGTTTTTTAAGGTCCTTGATCAAAAAAAGAAAGAAACCATGAAGAAAGCATTGAACGTTTTGCCTACCATCCACCCCACATTACTTGTCCCAGATCTAAACCGATTGACTTTGATCGATTTTTCCCACAATCCCTGGTATAGAAATCCAAATCACGGTCAGCTAGCAATTAGACTTATTGCTGTAACGAATGCAGAAAAGATAAGATTCGTACGCATACGATTTCTGATTACCGACTACTGAACTAGTGATGGGGGGAGAGAGAGACTATATCTTTCAGGAAAGGCTTCCAATTTATTTTTTGCTGTTCCGATTACTGATAAGACAAAGAACGAATCCCGTATCTTTTAGAACCAAATGTCTCCCCGCTATGTACACACACAGAGGGAGACACACAAAGTGATTTTTTTAAATGAAGTATGAATATGGCATGTTTGATCCACATCCACATCTGAGACACTACTATTAGGATCTTTTGCCAACAATAATTTACATGGAAATAAAAGAACGATAGAAAAAAAGTTGCCCATGTCAATCTCGTCAGTCGACGTGAGCTTTACGTAGCTAGTAGCAACGACACCGTGGTTGCTTATATAAATGGTGCTAGCTACATATACCATCCCTCCCTGGCTCAAACGTTTGTTATATTAATTCTAATATTTTCAGATTGTCTCGCTCTCTCTCTCTCTCGTCACTCAAGTATTCCCTAAGCAAATGGTGGCGGGGGTGTGTGGTTTCTGTTCTATTCCCACGGCAAGAGCAACAACCAACAATCTCACTGGTGCGTTATCGACTTAGACAACTTCAAGGGCCGATAACGTTGTGTTCCTATTGATGCGAATAAAAAATGCAACAGGCAGTGATCTTACTGATTATCGGCTCGAAAATGGGAATAAGACGCTTCTTTTGCAAGTTGTCAGTATCAAATCTCTTTAAATTTACCAGCGCATTCTTTGTTCTGCTGCTAACCTCTCCTCAATAAGACATGTATACATTTACGTGTGATTATTTTTCATAATGTCACCATCTTGGAGTTTAAATTCATATTTTATCTTCTTTTTTGAAAAGATGTGTTGACCTTGATTCCTTGCGGTACAAATACGTGGGAAGAGTATCTACAAATGAGGAATACTAGACGTATACTGGCCAAAAAGTCAAGGTTTGAGGAGAAAACTGCGGATGTTCACCACCTTTATATACTTGGATGAACAACTTATAAGAACTGTGAATAGCAAGAGTAGTCAATGATGTTTATCCTTGGCTTTTGCTGTCTGTGTACATTCTACTATACATATCGCATGTACATTGACGCTCGAGAGTGAACAATAGGCCTTATTAAGTACAATGAGCATCCCAAACATAAAGCATAGTTTGTTGCTAGTAGAAAGAAGTGTAGTAACTGACTATGTAGTATATGGTTGGTACATTAACAGAAAAGCAATGTCCACCTCATCAAAAGCACATTATTGATTGCATGACTAATATAACATTGCTTATGATAATGTGGACAGTACATATGTGCCTGCTATATGTGTAAATATACAGCCCAGTATGATAGTGACAATTTTTCTGTCGATACGCAAAGTTTTAATTGTGTGTTCATCGATTTAAGCGGTCTTCCTCGTGTATCGCTTGTTATTTGAGGCAATCGAACCTCCCCTAAATTTTTTGTATTAGAGCAAAAATAATAATCGATCGTTGTCAGCTAATTTATGGTGCAAGCGTGATAAAGTTATCTCTGCGATCTTTTGCCAACACAATTCCAACACAGAACCTTATGTATGATAAAAGATGTTACACCAAAAGCAATGAAAGCGATCAGCATTGCATATATCAGGTCTGCTCAAAAAAAGATTGCAATAGATAGTTACGACACATTGTTTGAAAAGCGGACACAACGTTTATAAAGAGTCAAGTTATTACTATATCGTCCAGAAGCTGCCGAAGAAAACTATATATATATTTTTAGGCGACTCTATGAATTACACTATACCAAATAGAGATAGGACCATGTCGTGACGCTGCTGATGTATATAATGCGTAAACGTTTGAGTAGTTTTCCCGTTCTAGCTAGAGTACAAGCTTACTTGATGTAATGTAGTATATTCTTTAACTTTATTGATATAAGTAGAAGTAATAATCTCTCGGTCTTGACAAAGCAGTGAGCAGAGAAAGAATCATGAACAGAGCAGAGAAAAGGGTGTTTGGTACGAGGAAGAAGAAGAAGGTATGTATAATAATGGGACTATGTTTTAGATGCATTAAAGAACGGCAGGCAGCTGTTCAGATGTGCGTGTGTGTGTGTGTGTGTGTGTGCCAAAGAAAGGGTTAGGGGAGGAGTAGAGCAATATGTGTAATGTGTGTTTGTATGCAAATAAAAAAGAAAAGACGCGCAAAGTAGTTGTGCTGGTGGGGTGGTGGTTGATGATGATATTGATATGCGTATTGAGTGGTTTTTTTTTTACATGATAGTGCAGTCATCTTGGTTGTTGCCGTTCTTGTTCTTTTTGGTGCCCGTTTTCTGACTACTTGAATTGCCTTGTAACCGCTGGATAGCCCGTTTATCACCATGCTCTGCTGACTTTTTGTACCACTGCATCGCCTCGTCCTGGTTCTTGGCAGCACCAATGCCAACTTCAGTGAAATAGCCGACCGCATACTCTGCCTTGGGCAGCTCCTTTTCAGCCGCGCGACGCGCCCAGACATAAGCCTCTTGGTCCGACTGTGGCAGGATACCGGGCGAGCCGACCAAGTACCAAGCCGTGAGGGCAAAGCAAGCCTCGCGATGGCCTTGTTGTGCAGCAATCGTGTAATAATGAATCGACAATGCCGGGTCCTGTACGCAATTCAGCTTGCCATACTCGTAACACTCGCCCAAACGAAATGCCGATGGCGCATAGCCAAGCTCCGCTGCTTGTGCATAAAGCGACACTGCGTACTCCAAATCCACAAACACAACGTTATCAATTCCCTTTTCATGCAACAGTGCTAGCTCATGGATCGCATGCGGATACTCGGACGTGGCTGCTTCGGCGGCTCGTTTCAGCCATTTCACGCCATCCCGTGCGTTTTTGGAAATCCCTAGTTCACCGTTGACCTCGGCTACACCGAGTCGGTACATGGCGCCTGGATGGCTCAGTGTTGCTGCTTTTCTGTAGAGTAAACAAACCGCACATTTTGAGATACGAGTCCCTTTTTTCTTGTACACTTGCGCTTCTGACTCAGACTAAAAGGCTTTAAGTCCCATCCAGGGGGGGGAGAGGGGAAGAGAAAGAGATCGTGTTTTGTATTGTTTGGGGGGGGGGACAGAGGGAAGGGGTGTCGATTAATTTTATTCTACTACATACCTGTAAAACTGGACCGCTTTGGCACTGTCTCGACGAGTACCAAGACCATCCTCATAGCACTTTGCGGCTCTGCAATGAAAAGTTGATTGATTAGATTTATATTTTTAGTAACAAGGGCGTCTCACTGAATATTGAAAACAAACCTGTACGCTGCATCGGCATGGTGATGCTTTGTTGCCTGCACAAACAACGGAAAGGCCTTGTCAAACTCATTCTTGCCCTTGCGACTGAGCAAGCCGGAAGCATACAGATTGCCCAGGTAATACTGCGACTCTGCATGGCCACGCGAGGCCAACTGCTTCAACAGCTTTTCCGCCTCTTGCAAGTACTCCCACCGTGCTGTGTCGTCGTCGGTCAAAGGCTTGGCAGCCTCCACCATAAAGATTGCAAAGTCACATTGGATATCCGGGCTGTTTGTCTTTTTCGCATTCTCTCGATACATGTTGATCGTTTGCTGGTAGGACAAGAGCGAGGCTTTGCTGCCCGGTTTCAGGTGCGAATGGTCCAAGAGTTGATCATTGACCGATCCAGCGTCCACGACCGAACTTGCTCGTGTACTACCTCCTGTGGGTGTGGGTGATCTTGGCTGTCCTGGTTGTTGTTGCTGTTGTCGTTTCTGTTGCTGCTGTTGCTGTTGCTGTTGCTGTTGTGGGTAAAGACCTCCTACTTCTCCTGGGATAGGCAACGAGTTGTATGAACCAGTGCTTCCGGTGGATGAATAGATGGAATGAGCAGGTTGCTGCGGTTGTTGATTGCTCATGACTTTGTAAGGCAAAGGATCTAAATGCTTGGGTGGTGGTGGTGGTAGGTTGTTTCGCTGCTTTTGCTGGTGGTGGTGGTGGTAGTCGTCGTCGTCGTTGTCTACCATGCCTACTGGCGCCTGCTTGAGCGGAAGCGGAGGCAGTGTGTGGTCTTGATTCTGGTGCGACAGATCAGTTGCTGGCGCTGATTGCATCATGACCTCCAAGTTCGCAAGTGTAAGAAGAAGAGTAAAAGAAAGAAAAAGGAAAAAAAAAGAAGAAAAATAAAAGAGGGAGAGAGAGAGAGAGTACACAAAAATAGAATCACTTGTCTGTTTTGTCTTTGGTTTCGCGTCATACTGTGCACTCACACACTCCTGACCCGACCAGCGCTATATTGCCAGACTAGACTAGCAAGTAGCGAGAGATGGGTCGGTATTAGACTAAAAGACACGCTACTGCTATACTATTACAAGCTATCTTTTACTTAGCAGAGTGCCATGTACCAAAAATCACACATGGGCTCTTTTCTCTCTCTCTCTCTCCCTTTGTGCTTATTACTTCCTGACGTGTCCTTCTCCTCCGAAACTCCCTATTCTCTCTCTCTGTGGAGCAAGACGTAGGTAGCATATTTCGAAATCCACATGGATTGAAACGAGACTGTTGCTATTAACCAATACTCCAACAGAATACACATGCAATCATAACTTTATCGACAGCAAAAACAGTCAGAGACATACCACAAACAAAGGTAATCTGGTTATTGTTTGTTGTTGTTGTTGTTGTTGTGATCTTTAATGCACTTGTATACATCCTGTCTATCTATTTGTTCATCCTCGCTTGTAAAGAACAACTTCTTTTCCCTTCCAACTCCTTGCCGTTGTAGCAAGTAGACTGTAGTATGCTCTATGTATCAACGGAGATGTATATATAAAATCAGCATCACGTCCAGACGAGTATTTCTTACTCAACAACGTCTCCTCTTTGGTAATAAGTGTATAAGCCCCCCTCCCTCACCCCTTACTTTATACACATTTATATGTCCAAGTGTATCATATCAAATAATCTCCCTTTTCACTTCTTAATTCCTCGCTCCTTTTTTGATTTCTTCCCTGGTTTTTTTGTCAAGTAGAAGTAGTAATAACATCGCGCCATCCCAATCTATCGGTGGATAGACCGATTGTCTTTAATCGATTCCCTTTTTGTTTGTTGCTTTTATAGTTTAATATCGAGGGGAGTGTGTGTGTGTGTGTGTGTGTGTATTTGAGATACAGTGGGGATGGAAATAATCGGATATGGGGGCTCTACCCTTTCAATGCCTGGAATATATAAATTTATCTCGTTATTATTTAATCCATCCATCAACTTATCGATAACAGCAAACATAAGCTCTCTGGTTCCTCCGTTCTCTTCTTTTAAAAATACCTGTAAGCGTTTTTGCATCATATCGAGCTCGGGCCCCTCTTCCTCTTCGTCCTCTTCTATTTGCACCTCTGGCTTCTTATCCAGTGCAGGTCCAACAGCTCCTGCTTCGCCCAACATGCCTATGATATCATCAACAAAAAACACAGAAACCATGAATCATACATATGGATGGACAAAAGGGAACCTTCTCTCTCTCACTCTATTCATACTCAAAAAACTTACCGTCTGTGATTTGGTATAGAACATTGTTGACTTCTTCGTCAGCTGCTTCTTCAAGATCCTCATCATCCATCATCTCCATGGTATCTTCAATCATTTCGTCCATCAACCCTGCCTACAATATGATAGTATAAGCGAGCTTGTTCAATATCCCTATGATTTCTTCCTTTACCTTTGTCATTTCCATGGACATGTGTTGCATCGTCTGTGACAGTTCTGGCAACCGTACGAGTTGATTCACCAATTTCATCACCTCACCACTTCTCTGAAGCGTTCCTGCAACTTTGATCGTTGCTACAAAAAATCGATAATAACTTAAAAACTCCCAACGTTTTCCCGAAATAAAAATAATTTGTGTGTGTGTATTTTTTTTACCCAACTGATGCTCCAACTGCATAACAATCGAATTCAATTGCGCCTTGCTGGTATACAGTCGATTTTTATGGCGTTGTGACCGTATGAGTTCCTTGGCAAGTATTTTGCATATCTTGTTATCTCCCTTTTTCGCCACTTGTTTAATCGACTTTTTCACTTTGGCTTCTTCGGAATCAATCGCTTGGATTTGTCGTTGTATTAATCGTTGTTGTGTTCTAATCTCTTGGCGCCATTTTTTGACCTTTTTTTTTTAAACAAGAAAGAATAGTCCAAGTCGGTTTTTATGTTTTTTGTGTGTGCTTGTCGTAATGTGGGGGAGCGCTCTCTCTTTAGACAGTTCTAATCTCAGTGTGCCATTTTACCAGCTCGTCAGGTGTTTTTTTGCCAAAGAAACGTTGAAGATTGGATATGGTACTGGCCATTGGGGGGTGAGGGGGGAGGAATAAAGTAAGATTGTGTTGGTACGGAAAAAGGAACGCACTACCGGCAATGAATTATATAATGAAGTTCGTTAAAGGGTTGGCAAAAAAAAAGAGCCAAGCGGTGGGGTTGGAGGCGGGCTTTTTTTGCTTTTTTTCCTTCCTACATACTGTAGTTCAAGTCGGCAACAAGCTTTTGCTGCTGTTGTGTTACAATGGAAACCTATCAATCTTCCTTTCTCTGATCCGGTGCTATGTATCAACAGTGACCCATCTCAAAACTGTGGAAGACTCCTTCCTTTTCCTTAGTGTACAATGCTGTAGCAGCAGTAACAGTACCAAATGACATGACAATATTCGTTGTCATGGTCCCAGAAACCTTGGCAACAAAAACATGCTAGTTAGAACCCATGCCAAGAAACTCCTCACTCAATTCATGCAAGTGCTTTTTTTGAAACACAGGACTTTTTTTTTACGTGCACATACCACCACCCTTTTTTCTCCTTTCTAATTCATCGCTTTTATTTACCCCATTACTCATTCAAACAATGCAGCTCAATGGTAAAGTCGCTGTTGTCACTGGTGGATCGCGAGGCATAGGCAAAGCTACGGCTACTGAGTTTGTGAAAAGAGGCGTCAAAGTCGTTATAGGCGACGTGCTTGACACGGAAGGTGAAGCTACTGTTAGAGAGCTGAACGAAAGGTCCATCCCTTTTTCTATCAAATGAAATAAAAGATCGAGAACCGAAAAATAAGAGAGATGAGTGCAATGCTGATATAATTTATATATTCATTTTCTTTTCTTTGCAAAAGCAGTGCAGGCGAACGCGTCGCCGTATACAAACACGCTAATGTGGCTGTCTATCAGGATAATATTGACTTGTTCCAGGCAGCTGAAGATGCGTTTGGCGCTGTGGATGTAAGTTAGTAGTTTGAATCAAACCCTTTTATTATCAACTCTATCGTCTTTTGTTATTGATGCATCTAGTGTAATACATGTTTTGAAAAAGATCGCCATTTTAAACGCTGGTGTTGGCAAAGATTGCAATGTCATTTTCGGACCGCTTGATGGTATGTAACATGCACAACAACGCTATGTCTCAAGCCCACGCGAGCCCCATCCATATATAATGCACTTTGATATTCGCATCATGGATATTGATGGTAGAGAGTTATGTTTTCTTGTAGACAAAAGAGACGATCACCTCTTCCAAGTCGATGTGTTTGGCGTAGTTAAAGGTATATACATCAGACAGAGTGTTTTTTTTTTCGACTGTCATTTTTTCAAAAGCTCATGTGTACAGCGTATATAATATGTCTAACTGTGAAACTTATAGGGTAAGCTGGCTGTACGATACTCTAGGGGCCTTTATCTCGGAACACATCTTTGGACGTGCAGATCTTTGATACTCATGGTTTTCCATCAAGAACTAAAGTCGCCGTTCTTCATATGGCAAAGCATGGAAAAGGAGGATGCATTGTGGCCACAGCATCGACATGTAGTTTCCAGACACCACCGTAAGTAGGGGGAGGGGGTTTCCTCGTCTTGTCCCGCGTTCTTATTGGATAAAACGAATTGATACATATATAGAGCAATGGGAACGTACAACGCAGCCAAACATGCTGTTGCAGGATGGGTACGAACTTTGGACTGGATGCCCCAAGTTTGTGGAGTGCGAGTAAATGCAGGTGAGGAGGATATATCTTTTTTTTTTTTTTGGTAGAAGGAGTAGATATATCCAGATTTCGTACCAACCAAAGCAATCACATCACGATCTCTCCTTTCGATCCACCACAAAAAAAACAGTTTGCCCTGCATGGGTTGGTAAGTCAAAGATGTGAGGAGAAAAGACTGTTGAGCTGTATAACATCTTCCCATGTTGGCAAAACCCAACGGGTTCTGGATGCTTCTTGCTGTTGTTGTTGTTACAAATTATAATACAATTCGTCTCCTTATTTTTGTCTGTGTACGGTACCAAAAAAAAAAAAAGACACCGATCTGTTGACAGACTTTGGAAAACGCGGGGTGGAACCTTATTGGGAGGTGGCCGATGCATTACCGCGTGCAAAGATGGAGACTGTCGTAGAGGGTTTCCTAAGATTGATCCAGGATGACTCTAAATCGGGTAAATATGTCTCCCAGAATAAGCATTTTCTTAATATCACAAAAAGTAATATGCAAAATGCTCTAAACTACTACGTTCATTTAGGAAGTACATTACTTGTCCTTCCCAAAGGTCTTGAGGAATGTCCTAGACCACCTGTCTTTGGTAAGCTAATCATCATCAACTTATGTATAGGATGGGCTGTGCGTGCGTATAGTCGTAAAGAGGTTCTCACGCATACAATGTGGATCTTTTTAAATCATATATATATATTGAAACGACGACATATCAATACATAGAATCCTCGGTCAATGATGCAACCAACCGCGCCTTGGATAAGTATCAGTACACCATGGTGGATCGATACAAACAGGAATTAAAAGAAGCGTTGGAACGATACAAGTAACAGCAATAGTAGCAGAATAAATGGACATGTTCTTCCTCTTCCCTCATGCTTAATCATCATTTTCGACTCTGTGTAACACGTATGGGAACTTTTGGCTATCCATTTTCAAGCTGTATGCCAGTTTTCTCTTTTGCTCGGCTCGTTGGCTGTTACAAAACACAAAATTTGTTATTTCCAAGGCCTAGCATAAGTATGCACTTTTCACAAATAGCGAGAAGCATCCTTCTTTTCGGATGCAATAACTCAGTGCACTGCATCTCATTCGGTGTAAAAGTGCGGCCGATAAATGTATGCTGCTAGGGACTTGAGTTCACACGTTGTATAAGCTTTTTCTCAAAAACATGCAACATGAACCTTGGCGAATTATATAATGGTTTATTCGCGTTTTCTGTCAGTCTCCGCCCAATGCATCTCCAGGTGGAAAGTATAAAAGCGCGCCGTCGGGCAAAACATTGGGTCGCATTAGAAAGAATTGTTCCATCCATCTTCTTCTTTTCTTCTTTTAAAACACAAACCTCTCTATCTCAAAACATGACTCAGACACTTTCTCTTGAAGGCAAGGTAGCTGTGATTACTGGTGGTGCACGCAATATCGGCAAACGTGTTGCTGCTGAAATGATCAGCCGTGGTGCCAAAGTCGTCATTGGTGATCTCTTGGATGCCGAAGGTGAAGCAACTATTAACGAATTTAACGTCAGGTACCGTAGTAGTAGTAACTCCCAAAAAAAACGCGTTGGTGATGTACACGCGCATGAGATTTTTTATTTTCTCACCTTTTCCCACATTTGTGATTATTATTACCTAGTGCTGGAAGCAAGGTGGCTGCGTACATTCACACCGATGTCACAAAGTATAGCGACAACAAGGCACTTTTCGCTTTGGCACAAGAGGAATTTGGTGGTGTGGATGTAAGTTCTTTAACAAAAAAATGGGGGTTGTCCATAATAGAAAAAAATGGCTATTTACACCAACAATAATGCAAATTGAAAATTTAGATTGCTTTCCTTAACGCCGGCATTGGCACAAACGCCAACGCCATGTTTTTGCCCCTCGATGGTAAGAAATATATATATATATATATATATATGTGTACATTTGTTTGGGAAATCTAATTTTTCGTGTAAAGACAAGGTCGACAATCGCATGTGTGACATCAACACAACTGCTGTCGTCAAGGGCTCAAAGGTTGCCATGCTCTATATGGCCAAGCGTGGTGGAGGTGTCATTGTCAACACTGCCAGTGTTGCAGGTGTAAGTTTGAGATTCGAACGGGACCCAATGATACTACAAGTGATGGATGGAAAAAACTAATTCCTTTTGATCATGCAAAATAACATCATTTAGTTCCTCTGCTCTCCGTAAGTTTTTCCGACGCTTTGCCTTAGAGTTGTTCGTGTGGTACAAAATATATGCGTGGGATAAGCTATACTGAACTTTAATTTATGCTATACTTTACAGTGCTGTTGGTATTTACGCTGCCTCAAAGCACGGTGTTATCGGCTGGACCCGATCGAATGCCATCTTTGAGCATGTCTGTGGTGTCCGTATGAACGCTGTCTGCCCTTACTGGGTTGGTAAGTCTATCGCTCTTTTCCCTTTCTTGTTGTGCAAGCCAATGTTAACAAAGGCTAGTATAACATGTCCGATTTCTCATGATGCATATTTTTCATTATTCTTATGATGATTTAGAAACCGAGCTCGCTGGCGATTTGGGCAATGGTGGGGATCAGGATCCTTTTGCCAAGTTTGTTGCTGACTCTTCTCGTACCAAGGTTGAAACTGTCGTCGAGGCAGTATTGACCCTGGTTGAAGACAAGTCCCGTAACGGTAAGTACAGCAGCATCCCCTGGAAAACTTGAATATTGTGTGAGAGGCAAGAGGTTAAGGGAACTCACTATCTGAACCTATTCAAAATGTAGCTCAAACTTTGTTGGCACTTCCTGGCGATGTCATTCGACCTCAGGAACCCATTGCTACTTATCGTAAGTTTTCTTTTATCAAAATCCGGGTGTAATCGACGACACATCAAAAAATGCAAATTTTATGGATATTGATTGTAATATTTTCTGTGTCTAATAGCCGAAATCGCTGATGCCAAGTACCAGGCGATGGTTCCAAAGTATGCTCAGGAGGCTATTGTCTTTTACAAGAAGAAGCTGGCCGACGCTCTTGAGCGTGAGGGCATCTAAATAGCTACTATATGGATGATGATATTTAAACGCCTTTCTCTTTTGCCTGATGAATGGCTCTTCATATCTAATGAAATGAAATGTAAACTAAATGATCCTATAGTACAGTAAATACAGATATCTCTCGACCTCTTGTACCATATTTACATCACGTGTATATCGTCGCCACTTTTATCATCATGTGTAAAATCGCAATATGTTGTCATAATTTATCCCCGGTGACAGAGAATCAAAATTTGCGCGGGATGTCGATCCCAGAGGAAGTCTGAGAATTCGTTTATGCACTCGAAGGAACGAAATGCAGCCAGTCTTTCCTAAAAAGCCTGTTGGCTGTCTCTTTTGACTATCTCCGCTCCTTGCATGTACAGATATCGCATAATGACATGTAGACAAAGTAAAAGGCATCTGGCACGATGAATTTACCGGACATTACTATACAGTCTGTCTAATAATACAGCTCATTGGATAATGAAGGACAAGTTGTCAAGTACCTAAAAGAGATCCAGGTTTGCTATCATACTTGTAATCATAGGGTGACATACACAAAAATAATGTTTTCTTTCAACCCATTTCTTTTCTTCGTCCTGTCTTGTTCGGACGGTTGTCTCTTCAGGGCTTCTTGCTGTTCCCCAATGGAATCGTTTCACACGTATTCCGTACAGTAAATTTTTAATTCCTCCTGGATAAAAAAATAGGCTGTAACGATGGAAGCTAATGATGTTACAAACCAATAAACCTTGTTTGAATTTGACCCGGCCCCCGCCCTTGCCTTTCAAAGCTAGAAAAACCATCATCGGAAAAGCAGCAGCAGCAACAGTATAGTTTGCAGATTGCTGATATACATTGTTATTTGCCAATCTCATGAGATTATAGGATTAGATGCTTTGTCCAATTGCCATAGCATTTATCTAATCACGTTCCACTCTTATGAGTTTGTATACGCCGAGGATTGGCTTTAATAAGCTACACAACAGCAGGGAACAAGTTGGACAAAGGTTTTAACTGACCCCGGTATGATAAAAGAGTAGCCCTGGCCATAGTACAGTAAAACTTTCTTTTTAATGGTCAGCAACGATGTGGTATATGTATAATTGCCAAGAAGCGTTAGGAGCACAATTATCAATGCTCACGATCGATGTCTTGAAATACCCTCGTTACGTAAAATATTTCCACAGAATATCGTTGTTACTCTATAGTATACATGTTGAGCGAGCATATAACAGCTACGAACAGTGTGTGTGTGTATTCTAACATCGGTCCGATTTTCGGATTTAGTGTTGTACACACTAATAGCTGATTAGCTATATAACATGGCACAGACCTGAATCTTTCACACACACTAGTTCCACAGGTCGGGGTCACGAAAAAGGGATGCTGCATATTTTGTAGTATCTTCTCAGCATAAAAAACAATCCAAGAAATTAAGAACAAACGCTTTCTTTACCTTTTCTCAAACAAAACAAATCCTCTTACTACAATTAATCATGACCAAATCACTTCAAGGCAAAGTTGCAGTGTTGACGGGTGCTAGCCGAAACATCGGCAAAGCTGTTGCTACCGAACTTGTTAAACGAGGAGCCAAAGTCGTTATTGGTGATGTACTTGATGCTGAAGGCGAAGCGACTGTAAAGGAGCTTAACACTAGGTACTATGAGTTTGAGGACCCTACTTTTTCTACGCGGTAGAGATATGCTTCTTGTTAACTAAAATAACCATACTTTCAATCAACTATACACTATACTTATTTGATAGCGCCGGTGAGAAGGTTGCAGCCTTTATCCATACTGACGTGACGCAGTACAGCGCTAACAGAGCCCTTTTCGCTTTGGCTGAAAGTGAATTTGGTGGCGTGGATGTGAGTTTAATGTTAGCAATGTCAAGGTCTGTTTATGCATAACATTGTACATCCTAATCTCGTTGTCCTGTGTGGCATATTTTTACTTAGATTGCATTTTTGAATGCAGGCATTGGTACAAATGCCAACACCATGTTCTTGCCTATGGATGGTAAGTTTAAAAAAGTCCCTTACTTTTGTACCTGCATCGGTCGCATTGGGTACTCTTTCTTTTGTGTGAGTAATAATATTGAGAACGTGTCTACGTGTAAAAAGATGCTATGGATGATCGTATGCTCGACATCAACACTACTGGCGTTGTGAAAGGAACAAAAGTAGCTATGCTCCATCTCGCAAAGCGCGGTGGTGGTGTCATCGTAAACACAGCAAGCGTTGCTGGTGTAAGTAGAACCTCTATTAACTATTATGCATTCCGTTTCCCACACACCTATAACATTATCAGCATCTCTAATTTGTAATCTTGTAATGCTTATCTAACGTTTTCTGTGCGGACATAGTTCCTGGCCGGCCCGTAAGTACCTTTTTCACGTTGGATGGATAAAAAAAAGAAGGTCATTGATGTCTAACCTTGTCAATATACGTAGCACCATGAGCATCTACAATGCATCGAAACACGGTGTTATTGGCTGGACACGGTCTTGCGCGATCTATCAACCTGTGTGTAACGTTCGCGTGAATGCCGGTAAGTACAAACTATACGTTGAAGCATACTGTAGCATCAGCACTACTGACACTACTTTTGTTTTAAAATATCACGGATAACAGTATGCCCTACTTGGGTTGGTAAGTGGATACGTTTCCCCTTACATATGTGCCGAGTACACAGTGGGTGATATTGGCTAAACATATACTGACCACTATTAGACACGGATCTTGCTGTTGATTTGGCTGAGAATGACGAAGGCAATCCATTCACAGAAATCTTTGCAAAGATGCCCAGAGTGTCGAGCGAAACTGTCGTTGAGGCCGTATTAACCTTGATTGAAGACGAATCGCGCAACAGTACGTGTTTCCATATCCGTGCTCTTTCCATGTTTTATACGCTCAAGATGAGAAACATAGTGTTCCTTGTACTTAGTTTTTAACCTTTTTGTAGCTCAAACCCTTTTGGCATTACCGGGTGGTGTTATTCGACCCCAAGAGCCTGTTTCTCAATACCGTAAGTACAATAACAATTTTTCTTCTCATCGTGCATCGATACGCTACGAATGGTAATGGTCTTGATATTGCTATTTTTTAAATTATTTTAGCCGAACTTGTGAACGATGAGTTTGCACAAATTGCTGCCAAGAGGATTCCTGATACCGTTGCTTACTATAAACGGAAGTTGGAGGAAGCTCGCAAGAGAGAAGGCATCTAGATGTTACGTGTGAGCCCTTTATGATAACATTGTAGTGACATACCCAAAGTTTCGAACCGTGAGAATAAATATATTAAATTGTCAGCAGTATATATTTACTGTCTTTTGCTTTTTCTTGCACGTACTTTATACACTCTACATACATAAATGTATACAACAGATGTCGTTTCATGTTTATTGAGCTTCTCTTTATTTATCGTATTGCTTTTTTTATTTTGATATAATGAAAGTGGGAGTCAACAGTTGGATAATTGTCATAGCTATGTCGACAGCAGCATAGTTATATCATACTTTCCACAATAACAGAAAATAACACAGCGCGAGTATCTGGAGCTATGGTGAATGTAGACTGCTTCATATGCATGAGCTGTTGAAAAGATAATAAAGCATCGTCCTGCTGAGGTCGCTTACATATATAATCTAAAGTCATATAATTGATGCACGATAGTATGTATTGTACTTGAAAGATTTAATTTAGAGAATTAGTACGCGGGCTGAAAAATTGAGACCAGCCGGGCTGAGTATTCAGCCCGCTTTGTTAATATTAAGGGCTCGAGCACTACGCGGGCTGAAGGATCTTAAATGGTGTTTGTCTTCAAACTACACCGCCTTGATATCTGCTACAGATATACATCTCATTTAAAAAAAAACTTATAGCTTACAGTCACTTATACAAATACTTGAATTTCATGCAAAAGACGAATTCATGTAGCCACAGCAATTCTGAACTGGGACACTGTAATAGCAATGAAAGCAAGCTTTTAAAAAAAAGAAGTGACAACGCGATGGCCAACAGCAATTCTGACCTGGCCAATGTAATAGTAATGAGAGCAATCTTCTAAGAAAGAAGCATCGCGATGATCAACCAAATTCGACATATGGTAGTGAATTTACACTTAGCCACTGCACTTCAAACTGGAGCAATTTAATCGTATCAACAGTGATAAAGTTCATCAGAGAAAAAAAAATGTCAAGAAGATGCAATGAGCGTTTGGCGGTCAATCAAGATTTATATTGAAAAGGGGCATGCGAAAGAAGAGTAATGAAGGAGTGACTATAATAGTATCTGAAAGAAGATGAATCATGGGTCATTAAGTACATGTACTTTAAAATCCTTTTTAATTTTGGACACGTACCAACAGACAGACTTTTGAACGACTTTTGGGCTTGGGATCAACCCTTTAGTTTATCAAAGATTTGGCGAATTGGATTATGAGCGCGCTTTGACACGTTTGAAGGGCGTACGTTCCAGGCATTACGGTTGTTTCCGGCCATGTCCAGGAAGTCGCGGTTAATAAAGATAATTTATTACCGTAAGAAGCAGAGTTAGGACTAGAAATGCACTATCTTTCAAAGACTCAGATGTTGTATTTGTTTTTCAGGGACAGGGCATAAGCGGTGGAGAGACCAAGGTGCTGGTGTATGATCACATTCGTTGATTTGAACCTACTGTGGTGTGACCCGATGCCAGTACTTTACGAGCCATCAGATTTATCTCTAAACATACATTTTTTATCTAGCGTAACATATATTGAGCGTTGCGGCTGTGCATTCCATTGAGAATTATTGAATAATAAGAGATGTACTATCTAATCAGAGTTGCTGGACATAGGACAACCACTTTGAGTAGACGTGAAATAGGTGCTACGTATTCTACTATATATGATGGGATGTGTCACAGAAATGGATATGAGTAGAGTACAAAACCGTTCAGCCCACGTAGTGCTCGAACCCTTAACAATAACAAAGCGGGCTGAATACTACTAAAATGCTGGAATTTTTTCAGCCCGGCTGGTCTCAATTTTTCAGCCCGCGTACTAATTCTCTTATTTTAAATGTGTGTATGAACTTTTTATCTGTTTCTACCTAAGTGATATTTTGGGTTTAGAATAAGATAAATAAGCTGGTACTGCAAACGTTAGTAAGTTCCCGTCCTAAGTAATGATAGCCCCCTGTTCTTTTTTGCACAAAAGTACTACTACAGGCACTTCGCTGCTTGGTTCTGCCTTTCTGTCGTGACGTGTTATCGATTTTTTAGCAGTCCATATCGCTGGTTGGCCTGTTGTCCTTATTATTGCTTTGAGCTACGCATCGTATTTTCGCATTTCCTAGTTGATCAT